TAAGGATTTTTTAGCCTAATCCTATCTTTAACTTAACTCTAGTATCAACTATATCAACCATTTATCTCTTCTACCTTGTTTTTATCAATTTATGGCCTTTTTAAGGAAGTAAAAGAGTTTCTATATCCGAGAAAGTAAAAATACTAACTAACTTTTATCTTTTTTGCTATTAAGACAAGAAAATAGTCTAAGAGAATTTCATAAAAGCCTTATTAAAATATTTTGAATTCTTGTTGAATTAATATAATAAAATATTAATTAAAATTTTATTTTTAGTCATATTTTTAACATATAATTGTATCACAACACGACAATGTTGTATCTTAAACAAAAAAATATTGCTACATCTCCAATCCGGATTTTAACATTTGGAAAAGCTCCATATAATTCACCTCATGTGTTATTAATTGTTCATATTACCTATCCATGGTCTACATCAATTAGCCACCTTTACTGCTTATAAAGTTCCTTAGATATAAGATTTATTTCAGAACCATGATCAATTAAAGTAAAAAGTAGTTCTTCTATATCTTCTACCTTCATTAATACTTTTGTAGTTGTCTTTGCTCAATACTTTCAAATATAATAGCTTAAAACTTTTTTTTTATCACTTTGATTATTAAAACATATCCTTTGATTATGACTCCTTTTTTCACTTGTTGATTGTTTGTAATAATTACAAAATTCATCTTCTTCATCTTCACATATCCCTACATCAACAGAATGATTCAATCTAGCTTCATCCATTAATTACCTCTTCTGCTTAATATTGTTAATAATGACATTATGAAAAAAAAATTTGGCAATATCCAAAATCTCCTTCAATGTAAACTCAATCTTAGTATTGACTACATATTCTTCAAGCACCCCTTTTAAATCTATTGCTGCTTCAATATTAGATACTATCGATTATGAAGTAGGTACTTGAATTTTAGATACTTGTCTAACTCCTTGAATTCCAATCCTATATTTTTTCTTTTTTTTCTTTGTAAGTAATTCCACAGCATCTTCAACTTCTTTCTATTTTATTGTCAATCCTTCATCTTATTCTTTATCTTCAAGAAGAATTTCCAACTTCTCTTATAATTTTCTATCAATTTTTCAAAGAAAAAATTCAACCTTATTTGGCTCTATAGTTAATTTTTTCATCTTTGATAATTGAAAATATTGCTTCTTAAACTCCTTTATAAGCTCCATAGCTTATAAATTCTTTTTGGGCTACTCAACCCATTTCAAAAATGATTTCTTCGTAACCCAATTAATATCCTCTAAAAAATATTTATCTTTTAATACATGTGAAAATGTCTCCTATGAATCTTCAAAATGCTCCATTATCAATTTAATATATTTTTTTATTTTTGATATTGTAGTAAGTTCAAATAGCTCAATCATCTTTATTTTGGAAATTCGATTCAATTCTATTTCTTGTATATAACATCTCAAATATTTTGAAATATTCCTTCCATCAAATTGATCAACTTTGTTAATCTCTTCTTACAATGCTTTAGTTACTAAAGCTTCTTTGCAATTATTATCCTATTGTTATTACATAAATAATATAAATACTTGAAATATATTTGTAATATTTGGATTAAAATACATACCTTATCTATTAATAGAAAATCTACTTGAAGCTTTACTTAAAGATCTACTTGAAGTTCCATCCAAAGTTCCATCAAAAATTCCAAATTTGACCTTCTTGCCTTCTTGCGCCATCAATTCTAAATACCACAAATACAATTCAATATCTTCTACCTCAAGCCTTTACGTTGGATTTATTACTTATGTCATATTACATCAAGCCTTGCTTGAGAATGCACAGAAGACTTGCTTGTGGAAGGTAGAAGGAGTATTGCAACAAGATTCTAATTCTCAGTTAAAAGAAGCTCAAGAACAATAAAAGATTAATGTAGATGCTCATTGCAAGGAACAACAAAAATCCAATATATGTGACAAGATATGATTACTTTGTTGCAATATCAAGACTACTCATCTTTGTGACAAGTTGGACTATTATAGGCTTGGACATTTTTCTATTAGTGAATAAGTCAATTTTATTGCTTATTGATTATATCTACTAGAGTCTATGGAGATCTACCATATATTTCACTTTTTTTTTTTTAAGCTATATAAGATAGTGAATATCTTAGAAAGAAGACAAATGCCACTTCTTCCTAAAGAAATGGATAATAATCAAAATTTGAGGTAGAAGAAGTCTTACATTCAAGGCAGTGCCAAAATAGGTTGAAATATCTTGTTTATTGGTATGGATATGATATTAGTCAATGCGTACCAAAGCCAATAACAAATCTTAAAAATACGTCAAAGAAAGTTGATATTTTTCATTGACAACATCCATCAAAATTAAGATGAAGGATAATAAATCTTTGCTATAAAAGAAACAAGATTCAAAAAAAATAACATTCTACCTTCTATCCTTCTTTATAGCTTTTGTGTATTTGTAATGCTAGAAAGATGGAGAACCAACAATTAGTAGATTCAATCCAAGAGCTTTCACTTACTGACTTACTGGATGATACATTGTAATTATCAAAATCTTTAAGATGACATAGTTGAGATGAAGATCCTTAAGAGCAACATGTCTTTTTTCAAATAGATGGCAAGATATAACATGTTTGATATCATGACCTTGGAAGAAACTCCCAATGTTTAGTAATTTTATTAAAGATAGGAAAAACTCCTAATAGTATTCTAAATATTTTATTTGAAGGAAGTTACAAAGGCCTCAACAACAATCAAATTACATGGTGGTCTTTTCACCCTGATATACGATACTATCAATGGTTGAGAAGACCTATCAACCATCTTTGAAGACAATAAAGATCAAAGTATGTGACAAATATAATTTGCCACATGTTAAATTTTATCAATACATAATGATCGCTCATCATGGAACTTGTCCTTAGAAGGGAAGACAATGTCATGGATATACATACGTACTCTTATAGATATCTATATGATTAAGTAAAAATAATTTAAAATAGATAAAAATAAATTAATTGCATAATATCTTCTAGAGAAGCTTCCTAAAAGCTTCATAGATATTGCTTTGACTTTACATGTATTTGTAGTTGATTGGTACATTAGAAACTTGGTCAGCAAGTTAACTACATATTGATAGCTTACGAAATAAGCTAATTATGTGGCAAATATATAAAAAAATCGCCTTGTAAGTTAAAATACATGTTTTGTAAAGCCAATACATTTTAGAGGTTCTATAGGACATCACCATGTAGCTCTTAGTTAAGAGTATATATGGAGATAAGAGTGAAGTCTTCTTCATTCTTGTCAACACCATTTTAGTTCTTAGTCTTGTTTTAAGATTTTCTAGTCTTCTTTTTTTTGGCAATAGCCATTCTAGTTCAATACTATATCATTTTTGAATGACTTTTTAGTTCTTTTTAGTGATACAAGAGTATATTGAGGATTTCTTTCTTTGAAATTTATGTCCTTGACACTCCATAATTAATGTATTTTAGTAATGTGGAGAAGAATCTACTTAAGTTTCTAATAGTTGGGTGATTGTTGGTATAGCCTTGATAAAGAATTATATTAGAAAATAAATAAAAAATACATAATATATATTTTTATTTATCAAATTATTAAAAAATAAGTAGACCTTATAGTGGTCCTTGATAATAATGACAAGGTCCTTAAAATTCATTTGCTATAATGAAATTCGACCCTTGATAATGTAAAGAGCCTTTGTGAAATTTGTTGTAATAGATATTTTAAATCCATATAAAAAAAAAGCTTCATCAATAGTTTTTTAAGATTTTTTGAGGATTGTATTAGTTTCTTCTATATGTAGTCAATTCCACAATTCATTTAAAGATAGTAAGTTTTTTTTATTTTACATATATATCACAAGTTTTTTAAAATACTTAAATAATTTAAATATTTTGTAAATTATAACTTCTAAAAGTTGTTTCAAATTGATAATTTTTAAATCTCTAATAACATTATTTACATGTTGCATGAAAGAAATAACATCTTAGTATTCACTCATTTGCAAGTAATTCTAGTAATTAATTACAACCATAATATCGGATATGTTATTAGTAAAAAATATATTCTTGAGGTGATTTTAAGCAACTCAAGGATCTTAAATGTCAACAATGGTGTAGCACATATTTGGAACAAGTGAAAATTGAAGAAGAGCCTTAATGCATAACTTATATTTGTGGTTGATGTTAAAGGTTCTAGATGTTGCAATGATGTCTTCTATTGCCATTCCTTTGTCCTTCTTGTCTTAGTCCATAGAAGAATTAACTTTAGGTTCAATGAGGTTTCATAGATTTTTTTTTTTTAAATGCTATATATTGTCATAATCCAATATTTGTAGTTTTTGGATCTTATTAATATTGTTTCTTTAAAAAAAATACTTTTGTAAGTATTCATGGTGTATATTATTTTTATACGTATTAATGCATAGTATGTGATATGCAAAGGAGACAAGTAAGTAGAAGAAAAAAGATGAAATATTATTGTATCATAAGAGTATATAATTTACAAGAAAGAAGAAAATAGTGTCTTTAGATGCTAATTTATCATAAAATAAGAGCTAGATGGATAATTTAGTAAAATTTTAGTAATTAAAAAATTAATTAATTAATAAATAAATTTTTTTAAAAAAATTTAAAAAAAAAAAAAAAAAAAAAAAAAACTCAATGTTTTACAAGCAAGTTGTGCATAGAGGAAATAAACACAAGATGAACAGACTAAAAGAAATCAAAATAGCAATACAAAGAACCAAGGAATAACAAATGCATATATATATGTATATATATATACAATATAAAACCACTGTGATAACACAAGATATAAATACACGAATTGAGATCTGATACTTCCGGACCTCAACGACAATGGTATGATGTGCACCAATTGTACTCTTTGTCTATGAATGAATGATAAACACGACAAAGATTGAACTCATCTTTCCAACAGTTCATGCTCTCCTAGCATTTTGGCTGATAGTCACAACACTCGATTCGTCTTGTCCCGGGTTACCACAGTACCTACATTTCTCAACGACGGCGATTTTCCTCAATTAGAATAAACCTGAACATTTACTTCATAGACTGCGATGTAGAAACAATGGCAACTTCGACTACATCATAGTAGCGGGAGCCTGCCCTGCGTGCAGAGAGCATATCAAACACGCGAGCTCACAGTCTATCATGGACAAAAAATTTGCTTCTGAGAATTGCTCGAGTGAATTTTAGGAACCTCCGTGCTTGTGGTGCATTCGTGAAATAGTCTCTCATCTCCAGAGATTTGTTTCATCAGTTAGTGCAGATTTGTGGCGAAGCTACGGTTCAATGGTGACACCAATCTCAGAACATTCAACTAGTGCGTTCGAACCAGGTCAGTTGGTTTGGAAGCAGATTTTTATGCTTCGAGAAGATGTTGTTTAGTGACTTTAAAACCATCACTAAATCGTATGCTTTAGTTTCAAATTCAAACCACATCTTATTGAAACTGTAAAACATTCTTTGACAAGATTGCATATAATCATAAGAAATTATACACGAAAAAACTTATTTCAAATTCTGGTGTATAGTGGTTTTAAATTTGCTCCTAAACAATTCAAACGCTTTAATCTCAAAATGAGATGTGACATGCTTACCATTCATGGTAGTGACAACTAGTATAAGTTTTGCAAATAAATTCCACCAAGGCTGCTGCACCTCAATGTTCTTCCATGCTTGTGTAGGAACTGATACTATCCCTGGTTTTCTTCTTTTTTATTCTGTTTCTCCATTACTTTTCCTTTCGGTACCGTTTGGTGGCGGGTGAAATTTTCCACGAAGCACTGCCGAAGGATTTATACATAAATCACCATATTTAGTAAACTGGTTGACAGTTCCTTTCGGCAAGGGAACCGGAACTCGGAAATACGAGCGAAAACGGTTGTCAATGCGGCAGATTCTGGGATTCCTATAGCAGCAGGAACTAAAGGGAGACAAAAAAAGGGGAGAGCTTCATAGTCGGACTGCGTGTCTTAATTTCTTGTTGTGAATTGCGGGGGAGCACGCTGAAGACGAGAAAATTGCGATTGGCTAATGATCCGGGGAGTAGGGGATGAGGTAGCGGTGGTGCAGGTAGGTGAGCCTGGAAGCATGAAGCGGTTGTGAGTGTTGGCGTTTTGTGACGCAAGGATTAGAGAGGGAGGAGGTGATGATTATTGACGAGGTTCGCGACAGTGGAAGGAGTTAGGATGGCGTTGGGTGTGCCTTAGGAGCTTTGTGCGTTTAGTTGTGCTTCGCATTTACGATGTTTTCTTTGAAGTCTTTGTGGCCGTGTGAGTGTGTAGTGATAATCGATAAGAAAAGTTAGAGCGGGCGATCATCTTGTCGGATAACATTGGTGCAGAGCGAGGAGAGATGTAGGATGCTCGCGCTGAAATGCTGACGCGCGGGACGTTTGTGAGTGGTATCATGACGAGAAAAAGATATAAGGGAGAGGCATGTCGAGAAGTTCGCAAAATGTGTGATTGAGGAGAATCAGGGGTTCGAGAGAGCGAGTGTCAGTTGTATTAAGAAATTTTTCAGAAGAATATGAGGTCATTAGAGCAGAGATGACTAGCCGAAAGCCTGCTCGACATACGGGACGATCCTGCTTATCTTTTACTTGTAAAGTTTCTTGAATGTTGGGCAATAGGCCCTTGCATGACCACAAAGTTCAGTTGTATTCTGATGAGCAAATAAACCACTGGAGATCGTTGGCAGGATACATTCCTGCTCTGCTTCTCTGGAAGCTTTTCATTGCATAGAGTAATGGATTGTACCGTAGACGGTCCTCAATTGTAGAAATTTTCGAGAATTGCAGTGTGAAGGGTCTTTCGGCAAACATAAACTGATGTAAAGGGTTAAGAGCTTTAGGCATTTCTGAATAGATTTGTGAGGAAGGTTGCATATCTCTTTCCTCACTTCCACGTGTTAATTAGATGCTCAAAGAGGTTTTGGATTTACTTGAAGGAGCAAGTGCAAGTGTGAGTGCTACAAGGATCTCACAGAAGCAGAAACCGAAATGATCAAGATTGTAATGCAAGTCGGCGCAAATGACATTTGAATCAGAAGAAGCATGCACACCAAAGAATTATGAGGGATTCGGGTGCTTAACCACGTGGCTTTCTTTGAGCAGATTGGGAACGCTTAGTTATATGTTGACGTCGTTAGCAGTTTCTCCCTCACTGACATGGTGACAGTGGCTGTCTTCAAGAGAAGCCGAGGTGAAGTCTGCTAATAATACGAGCAATGGATTTTTTACGCTGGGAGTTACGTAGCTGGCGGACTCAAAAACAGCCAAGACTCAGGTCAATCTTTACAGAGACAAAGAAGGTTGCCAATTTCTTGCAGCAATCTTGGAAACGTGGCGCATTGTTTATACTGGTGTTGGCGCTTATGCCAGTTCTGTTCCCGTTGGCTTTGTTCTCAAGCTTCGTGGGATTCATTTACTCGATTCCTCTTCTCTGCGGAGCCGCTATTTGTTACACCCTCTTCTGCGGTTTTTATCGTTCTTTCAGCATCACAGGATTGTTTAGTCCTTTCAAATACCTGCTTGAAGGTCTCAGTTCAGATTCACAATCTACTGAGGCTCGTGTGCCGCGTAAAGAGCATGTCATTAAACAGGTCGAAAGTAGGCAACACGAAGCTGTGTTGAAGTCTTCCGCAATTGTCGTAGAAGATGCGCAAGTCAAAGACAGAGCGTCCAGCGCTAGAACAACATTGCATCTCGATTGCGAACTTCTTGTGAATGAGAGAGACGAAGCTGACAATCTTGAGTTTCGAAATGTGTTCAAAATGAACATCCCCTCTGAAGTTAATGGCAAGATCAGTGGATTTGGTGCTGAACCGAGACCTTCTGCAAATTGTCATACTCATCCAGATATCAGACTTCGAGAACGCTTATTGTATCTCTCATTGCCCAAGTTCAAAAACGAGGACCGCACTTGTTTTGGTAGAGTCCAGAATGACTTTACGGATGAAGCTCATAGGGGCGAAGCAGGGGAAATAACAATAGAAAATTTTGGGATGGACATTGAACGAGCTTCATGCTCAAGTTTGCTTGCACCAGGGGAGGAACCCAAGAGCTTTTCAGTAAGGGCTAATTCCCATCCAGTAGTATCACGGTTTTCTGAAGGAAGGAATGGTGGCAATTCAAAAGTACTCGGCTGCGAGACTTTCGAGGGGCGAGGTAAGGATGCCATGTTGGAATCACTTCACAACTCTATGTATCTGAAGGAAATTGATGAAGAATTGTTGCAATTAATTTTCTGTGCATTTATCTTTGCAACTTTATTTTGAAAGACTTGAAAATGTATCTTTTACAGATGTAGAATCAGTTATGTATACAGTTCGTACATTGTGCAGATTATGACACAGGTCATGCAAGGTATTGGAGAGAAGAAGTCGAGGACTCTGTCTCGTCCTTTTACTCGTTTGCGAAGGTAACACATCACATGGGAAATCGGAATTCAGAAGCTTTAAGAGATGTGGCATGTCTCAATTCATTTAAAAACGAATCCAAAAAGATTATGAGAATGAACGACCAGGATGATATGTGTCTGCTGGGGTGCGCTACAGCAGATGCATTCTCAGCATCGCAAGTGCCCAATTTGATAAGATGCAAGGAGATATTAGTTGCTGGTGAGAACGGAAGAACTGGTTCAACTCAACCGTTTGCTATATCACCTCGCACACATCAGAAGCGGCTTGTTTTCAGCAATGATCGTAAACAACGTTCTGTTAGTACTACTTTCTCCTCAGACTACACTTGGCCATCAGAATCTTCTGAACAGGATTCTGAGCTGCTGTCAACTCGAGGAACTGCACATGAAGAAGTATGCGTAGATACTGCTTCAAGCACAGCCCAATATGAGACCAAGTTTGTTCCAGAATCTGGCGGCGTTCTTGATCCATCTTCTTCTACATGTCCAAGTTTTTCTCCAACCTCTGATCAATTGGCGGAGGATTGGGAGACCCGACGAAAAAGATGGGAAGAGGAGTCGACGCCAGGAAGCTTGGTGCCCTTCGTGCCATTTGTGGAAGCTCGTCCTGTTGAAGCGCGGTCCATGTGCAATCCATTGTTCGAATTTTCAACACCATCACCGCCTCTCAGAAAGCTCAATGTACGAGGTAAGAGTTACCTATCCGATTCTTCTTCATTCCAGACACCCTCTCAACATCAACAAAGGCTTCGAAAATGCAAGAGTAGCAAGTATACTGAACGTCGTGATAGTGAAGTCATTGATTCGGCATCAACTTCGAGACGCCATAATCGATCTTACTCAGCTTCATTCATGGAGAACATGGAGCCTTATTCTGGAGAATTCGAAGGATTGTTAGGTCTATGGCGGAAGAGAGACAAAACCACTCACTCGGTAGCTTCATCCCCGAGAGATTCGCCAACTGCAACGTCGCCTGCAGAGGTTGCGCACAAGATACGGCAGGACCTCAACACTATTCAAATGGTAATTGGCCAGAAAATCCCGCCTCAATACTCTCTGTGGAAAGAAGTAGAGACTTTGAGTCAGATGATTAACATGAAGCTTCCTTACATGGGAGATATTTCAGACTTGAGTAAAGCTAGACAGGGACTGGATCTCCTGAAAGTTGTAATCGGAGTCCGATGGGATGTTGAGTTGTAAACGACGGAAATAGATGAGTAGGAAGCAAACGTGTTTCGGAACGCACAACAGACTTTTTATGTAGCTGGAGGACCATTGTGTGCTTTCAAACAATCCGATTCTGTGATCTGCAATGTAAATACTCGACACTCGACCATGGTCAACTAGCTCTGAGTGACCTTACCAAATCCTAAAACAAACCACAAGCGTTCGCGATTCTGAGCTGAATATTATAGTTCCAATAGTCCGATCCGAAAGTGCTTCCGAAATCTGTTGGCTTTTCCTTCAAGAAACAGCTCTAGATACGGAGATGTCCATGGAAGCAATTCACACATCCTGCAACTTCAGGTTTGGTTTTCGCCAGTTCGTTCACTACCGCTCCATGCATATTTGACTGTAACACATCATTTAGTTCTTCCGAAGCCAATTTCTTACATGTTTCCAAAGATCTTTCGACTTTATGGCCTTACCAATTGCATATGGATGGTAAATGAAAAAAACCACTAAGCTAATCCGATAGCCTTTGATGTATTGTGGATCATAATCCGTATCCGGTATGGGATTCCTCCGGCTAAGTAGGCTTTTGGGTATTCGATGTGAGCTGGCAAGTAGCAACAAAGCTAGAAACGTCATCCTTCATGTCGCTTCTCTCATGCATGCTGCATAAGAGTTTCTCATTACAGAAAGAACTAAGTAACGCGAGATTGTAGGGTGAGTGCATGGATCGAAGGCAAAAAAATTACGGGTAATTGGGGGGCCACCTAAGGACGTTTTTCTTCACAGAGCATCAAGTGACATAGCTTCTCAGCAGTAGAGTCGAGAGAAATAAAAGTCGGAAAACATCGAACGAGTACACGGTAACTAGGGCATTTATACCACGAGTAGCGCGAGAAGCCTGACTGCGTGCAGTGAGCAGATGCGATGCGTACATCAGGCGGAGGTGTTGAACATTGTGGTTGTTTATCGGGCATGTACTGACTTGACTTGGTGTCTGTTTTGTGTTTTTCATGGTATCAGAGCAAGGATTGAGTGAGTAGAAGAGGTGGCCAGATTCCTGAATAAAATAGTTGAGACATACTGAGTGTTGAGTCTAGGCGAGCAATGAATGAAAAATGGACTCAGTTGTGGCAGCAAACAAGATGTTAGCTAGTCCCAAAAATTACAAAACATAGAAGAGTACCATTTAGAGTGTTATAGAGAGAAAGGACTTTGGGATGTAGTGGATCCACAACCATTGAACATGATGAGAGGAGAGTCTTCCAAAACCAAAGAGTAGTCAAATTTTGGATAGCAAAGAGCAAATGGGCTCCCCAATGACTTCTTGATTTGTTTTACTTGACAAAGAAAAAACTTATAGAAAGAAAACTAAGGCTATGGGCTACTTACAATTCTCACTCACTGACATGGTCAAGTTGTATATATCTTAGATTTCTAATTTGTCAAAGGCTTGTAGACTTTGTTCAATCTATAAGCCACCTAAATTATTATAGATGTAATGATTATATTGGATAGGTGGGACAACCTAAGAATGGTCGACAACATGACTATTGCATCATTTATATAAATTATTCATGAAATTATCAATAATCTTAGAAAAACAAACAAGCTCTTTTCTAAATTTGTTGTCATTTATAAGATTTTAAAGATCAGATCGCTTAAGTTGGAGATGTTGGTGTAAAACATTTGAAACAAGCATACACTATCCACTCTTGTATAACTGACTAGTAGGTTGTAGATAGAAGAAATTAAAATGAAACTTTGCTTCGATCTTTATAAAAATATCTTTGTTTTTTAAATTAAAAATATAATAGGTCTATTTTTTTGGCTTTCAACAAATCAATCAATACAATCATCAAACAAGGATTGATGAGTTGAAGTATCACCAATGTCTTAAAATTAGACACCTTTTTTAAGATTGTCTAGCACTAGCCCTAATTTTGGCTATAAAAAAAAAGGAAATTTAGACTCTATGCAAACTTCTTCAAAAACTATCCTACCAAGTGTACAAACCTACTCCAAAAGAGATCTAGAATGCATTAAATATCATGGTACTAGCTTTAATTTCAAAAAAAATTGGATCATTTGTAATAGAGCTTTGAAATATTTTTGAAGGATTTTAATCTATTTTTCTCCTTAAAAAGATCTTCACAACAAGTTACTATAGCTATGGCCAATGGATATACTCACTTTGTTAAAAGATAGGATAAAGTCATCATGCCCAATAATTCAAATACCAATAAATTTCGTAATATTTATCATGTTTTAAGATTGAAGTACAATCTAATGTCATTAAAAGAGTTTGTTAGACACAATGATATTAATTTGGTTTTTGGAAAAGAGACTTGTGTAGTTTTTATAAGAATACAATTGCTAAAATTCATTACTGTAGGATATTGGAACAACAAATCTCAACTCTACAAGCTTACTTAAAAAGATAGTTAGTTAGTTATGGAATTCTAAAATAATCAATTTGGCAATAAGAACATCAATCTTACAATCTTAGTATTGTGCAATGGAGTAGGTAATTTTGAATCTCAAAACAAAAGCAATTTGAACAACATTACTTATCTTTGATACTACCAACTATGGCATGTAGGATTTACTATCCTAAATAAATATAGCTTCTAAAGGTAATATCTATGGCATACCAAATTTTACAAAAAATTCCATAGTTTGTAGATATTGTCTTGAAGAAAAGTAGATGAGGGAACCAATATTGGAGAAATCAATAATCTATTTAATTATTCTGATCACTTAAATTTACTCAGACATTTGTAAATCCTTTTAAATTTCTTCAATTGTAGAAAATAGATATTTTCTATTATTCATTAATAACTATAGCAAAAATATGTAGATTTATTTCTTAAATCTAAAGAGACAAGCTTTTGAAAAAATTACAATTTTAGAACAATGATAGAAAAACAAACATGATTGTTTCTAATAGTTTTGTAAATATATATAGGTGGAAAATTCTTCTCCACTATTTTCTTATAATATTATAGATCACATAGAATATTTTTTTAATTAAACCAAGATCATACCCTCTATCAAAATAGTATTATAGAAAGACAAAATAGAATCATTTTAGAAAGGTTTAGAACAATGCTTCTATCAAGTCACTTTCCAAACTCTCTATGGCTTGAGATAGCTAAAACTACAATTTATTTGTTAAATAAAACTCCTACTAGAATTCATGAGATTAGTTCATCACTTAAACAATTCTTTTTCAAAAAACATCTAAGTTTCAAACACCTCAAAATCTTTGGTTTTCTATCTTATGTTCATAGGATTCCATTCTTTTTGTAATAATCTATTGCTACAACAATCAAGTATAGCATTATCCATATTTGATTGGACTTCTTAGCAAACAACTAGATTGTGAGAAACTATATATCTTCTAAAGTGGCTTAATGATTACTATACCACAATTGTTTTAGCATCCTATCAAAAGCCTATCAACTTTTGCAAAGCATAGAATTGCCTAAATTGAAAGAGATTAATACTAAATAAGTACAATTTCTTTTTAAAAAATGTTATATGGTATCTCACAAATCTCTCTTTTGGAAAAATTGCAATATCAACCTAGTAGATATTCAAAGCTAAAACTAATTCTAAAGAAAAATTCCAGAAGCACAAAAATAAATTGAGAATTTGTAATTTCAAACAACAAGAAGGAATAGATGTTGAAGAAATCTTTATCTATATCATTGCATAGAAAACAATATAATCTCTCTTAGCCATTATTACACAAAATGATTAGGTCATTATTCATATAGATATCATAATACATTTTTTTCACCACCCATGCAAAGAAGAAGTTTATGTTACATAGTCCTAAGGATTCTAAATATGAAGCAAAGAGCAATTAATGTATAGGCTTAGGAAAGCTCTCTATAGATTATGGCAAGCTTCTAAATCATAGTCCAATGAGATAGATCAATTCTTCAAAAACATTGGTTTTAAATCTAATATGGAAGATTACAACTTTTATTACCAAATAAAAAATTAAATTGTCATTGTCATAGCTACTCATGGTTGAAAATTCCACTTCTACAATAAAAGATATGAAGACACAACTAAACATTAGGTTCTCTATGACAAAGCTTGTAAATAAAGACATCATGATTTACCTAAAAGCTGATTGTATTTAGGTGTAAAGAAGAATTTTTCTCTCTCAAAGAAGCTATGCTAAACATATTCTTCAAAACTATGACATAAAAGACTGCCAACCAACACTTGTATTAATGGATGAGCATTACAAATCAATTGAGGATATGGAAGAAAAAGAATGTGATCTAATATTCTATCATAGTCTAATGAGTTTGTTGCTACATCTTACAATCACTAGATTTGTAGAAATATTCTTATTTGAATTGATATTAAATACATAAATAATAATTTAATAAAGCACATAAACTACCACTATTAATATCAATAAGTATTTCAAGCTATTATCTAATTTGAACTAAAAATAAAAAGAAAAACTTTTAAAATTATAATAAAAATAATAAAGAAAAGCCTTTAATAATAAATCTAAGATAAAAGCTTTTTATGTATGTATGTATGTATGTGCATATATATATATATATATATATTCTTAATTAATTGACCATGTTATAAAAATCATAAGAATATTTAAATCAATAAAAAAAATTAAAAAACAATATTTTGTTAATAATTAAATTTAATATAAATTTTAATTATTTTTTATAATTTAATGAAAAATAATGTATAAAATAATTAAATTTTATAGTTATTATTAATTTTAAATAAAAATATATTTACATGTGTGTATATATATAATAATTGCATTGATCTTATAATTAAATTTATTATTTTTATAGATTCTTTATATAGTTTTCTATATTTTTATAGATTCTTTATAATATGATTCTTTATATAGTTTTCTATAAAAATCATATAGAAAAGAATCTATATAAAAGAATTTATATTAATAATATAAATTATAATAGAAAACTATATAAAGAATCATATATAATAAATGAAAATAAATAAATAAAAAATAATCGTGATTTGTTGTGATGAAGTAAAATAATTGTATGTAATATCAAGTAACATTGCACTAGAATATGTATATATATATATATATATATATATATGTGTGTGTGATTGATTTACTGTTGTATTCCAAGTTTGATCTATCAACTCAAAAAAAACATTAGGTTTTGATTTTACTTAAAATTATATGACATGATTTGTTATTTAGCATCATCTTGACTTTGTGTGCATCGAACTCTGCCGTTTTTCATAAAAATATATTATGGCCGAAGAGCTAAATTTAAACTTTAATTCACATCAGCATGGCTTAATGTATGTAGGCTTCGACACTGTGTGTACCCACAATATTATCTTCAATGAATTGCATGAATTGCTTAACTCACGTAATTTGACACGCTCACAGGGGCAGAGGATATCCTAATTGCAGTACTTAGAAAAGGTCAAAAAATTCGGCATGCTCACAACCCGATTGCAAATCCTTGAAAGTGTAGCAGATTAGTTGAATTAACTTAATAACACAATGAAATATCACAGTTTCAAACAATGCAGGGCTGGGGATCCACTTCACCGAGCTATCTAAAAACTAGTACATGATCTCAAACCAGAAATATACAAGAGTATCACCACCTGTAAGAGGTGCTCAACTATACAAGAACATGAATGAAAACTGAGAAAATGGAGACAGCAAGGACTGGATTTTCCATGTGGATGAAGGTCCGCTTTTGTTTAACTTCAATCCAAAGTAAATATGCAAGTAGGCCTCAAATGGTTGAGCCCATGTCCAGAGTGTCTGCACACGACAGGAGGGTACATATAATACATATTCGATGCACAGGTATTATTGGGAGGACTTGTTAGAGACATTGTCCATTCCAGCTGGTTAAATAGAAATCAATGCACAAGTCCGGCAGACAGAGTCTACAATTTTTTCATTACTTCTGTTGGTCCATTAGTGTGTCAGGTAATGGCATGATAAACTTCAAAGAAATTACGAGGGGAGCAGGGTGGAGGAAAGCTGCGGACATTCATGTTCGCACTCAAACCATCTCTATCATATAAGCTTCTAGACACAAAGGAACTATTTCGCCAAGGTAAATAAGTTGGAATGTGAACCAGCTAAATTCACGCTCGAATTTCAGGAACATAAACGTGAATAATCAAGGCAACAATTCCTTCAACTATTTCTCATCCGCGGCAGAACGGCAGACAATGTAAGACAGTAATACTAATTTAACAAATGAATCCTACTGGATAAGAAAAATAAAAAAACACTCTAGGGCACGTAGAGTGCCAGATCGGAACTAGGGCATGTACACCCCTTTTCTCTCGTGCTTTGTGTACTAATCTCATCAATGCCGGCGCCGGTCACAAATGCTCTGAAATAGAGATTGTTCTGAATCATCTAAACCGACTTCATTTTCCTAACCGGCCGAACCAGTCAGCCTAGCCATCAACTACAATTGAAACTCTCCAGACCACGGTACGCAGAATAGAACAGTATTTCCAGTTTTGTTACCTACGCCAACTCAAAGCTGAATAGCCACCTCCGAAGACCTAGCTGTCAAAGGCGTCATCGTCGTCGTCGGGAAGAGGCAACGCTTGTGCTTGGGCGATCTCTGCCTCTAGCGCCGCCTGTGTCGCAATGTCGATTTGTACCTCCGGAGGAGCTAGCGCTGGCGACTCCACGAAGTGCAGATTCGGGTCACTGCCATCACCACCCACACCACGTCAGAAATCTCCAATTTCCACCCCCGCACATTTATCCCCCTGCATCCATCATCAGTACCTCCACCACCACCGCACTCTACTACTACCATCTCCCAAACCCTCCTTACCCGGCAAGCTTCCTCGCCAAATACAAGTACGGCTTCTCAAAGTTGTAGTTCGACTTCGCTGATATCTCGTAGTACTGCAGGTTCTTCTTCCTGTGGAAAGTCACCTGCTTCGCCTTCACCTGCCTGTTCTTCACGTCCACCTTGTTCCCGCACAGCACGATCGGAATGTTCTCGCACACCCTGCACAGGTCGCGATGCCAAGTTGGGACGTTCTTGTACGTCAGCCTTGCAGTCACGTCAAACATGATGATGGCGCATTGTCCGTGGATGCTGCGCAACACAATGAGGATTAGCCTGCGGACTCGGTTCACCCAACACAACAATCTCGGTGCCCCCAAAACTCAACAATAATGCATTATACCCACGAGAAACTCACTAGTATCCATCACGAAGTCCTCCGAATTTCTCCTGCCCGGCGGTATCCCAGCAGTAGAATCGGATGCGCCCACAATTGGTGAAGAAGTCGAGCGGGTGCACCTCTACGCCGATGGTTGCTGCACATACCAACGCAAAAGTTACATCAATATGCGTGGCTGCTAGAAGCTCAGATCTGATAGTAGACAACTACGAGCGCCTTAACGAAAACATACAAAAAAACAAAAAAAACGCCATGATTTCACAAACGAAAGCCACTTGTGGAATGAGTTCACTTACGTTCATACTTCTTTTCGAATTCACCGGTCAAGTGACGTTTTACGAACGTGGTCTTTCCTGCATCATCACTCCACTCCATTCCGTAAATGCCCAGAGATCGAGCACGACCTTACTCAAATATCACTTGAACCCTACAAAGCCCCTCCGGTTCAACGTGCATGGAAAGTACAAGCGGCAACGATTCACAAAATCTACATTATTGTGCCAAAATTGTACCTGTCCCTCCATCTCCAACAATGACGAGCTTGAAGCTTGGGCAGTTGTCGGGAGTTTTCTGACCTGGCAGAGCCTGCACGACCAGAGCACCGATTAAACGCTGATAATTTCTGCATTCCACACCATCTCCTAGCGAGAAAAAACAGGGCCGATCGACATACAAACGCGAAAACGTGACATCACAACAGGGGAGGGATCGAAAATATTGAAGAATATAAATACGAAGGCAATCAATATGTCGCTATCAGCCCTCCCAGGCCGAATGAAAATATCCAGAATCACTGACCATGCTCACAACACTGACAGATCAAACGAAAAAAAACAAAACAAAACAAATGGAACCCTGACACCACCATAGATATTCCACAAAATCTACACGCAGGCGGTGTAAAATCACGCTCTGGTAATAACAAAACAAGTAACGTTCAATCAAGAATTCTCTCTCAAGGATCCTCCACAATGTAAAAAACAAATAGGTACAAACTCGATCAAACCTTCTGTGCACTGCCACAAAATCTTCATCAACAGCGGACGAAAGAAGGAATATATATATATATATATATATATCAAGCATTAGTACCATGAATTAGACCGGGACGTCGATAATACTCAGAGCGGAACGGCGGTAACAACAATCCGGGGGGAAAAAGGCGGGGCAGCAACGATGCTGGCTGCAACGCCAATCCACGCGACGACGACAAGGAGACGGAGGCACAACAAGGTGGAACGCTGCGAGGATTTGAAGTCCCTTGAGAAAAGAAGGGGCGCCTCACACAGACGCAGCGAGCGCTTCAAACCGTTCGATGAGCCACGGCCAGGACCGTCGATGAGGCGAGTTGATAACGACATGGGCGGGTATAAGAAGGCCGTTCGAGTTTTTGTAGACGAGGAGGGCCTGAACCCTATTCTTGGCCATCGTTCTCTCTGCCAGGGGGCAAGGCCGAGGTGGGGGAGGGGGTGCGTTGTTTGTAAGCTACCCGGGCCCAGCCCGTTCGCTTGCCGCCCTCGGGGAGTTCGTTAGTTAGTTGTTTGGGAAGCGGGAGGGGAACCGGAAGGGGATGGAGCGGGAACTCCATGGGAACCAAAGGGGACGGAAGGGAGGTGTCCGAGTTACGGGTGCGGAGTCCGCGTTCTGGACACGCAGCAAAGGGGCCTGATGAGCAGGTTAGAGCCTAATTAATTTATTCCTCGGGCAGCTGTTCTGCCCGATCTCCGACTAGTTCATGGCGCATTTGCAAGGCTTGTTGTGGAATTCTGATCACGATATGACTTGAGCCGTCATTTCACTTCTTTACTGTTTGCTTGTTTGTGTGTTGAGGGTTCATGAGAGAGCATACACATTGTTTTTTTTCCCTTCGCTATTGTTTTGAACTGAATGATGAATAATCGTAACTCTTTAGTGGGTTGCAAATATAAAGTTTGGAATACACACTACGAACCCAAATGTTTTAATTTCATTTCATTGACTAGTTATATTGATTCCAACTTTTGATTGCATGTTCATACAACTGGTGAATAAGGGTATTTTTATAAAGGTAAATATTTTCAATCGCAATGAAACATGATCCAAAAATTCCTTAACTTTGTATGTGTATTGTGTTATTTATGTATGTGTGTGTGTACACAAAATCTAGTTATTTATAATGTTTGCCAGTGAGTTCCATATCCTAGGGCAGCTGAATTATTTTAAAAACAGTGTCAATCATGATTTTTATTTTAATACATGTTCAAGACACTTATGTGATACAGTTCATTGAGTGTCCTATGACTTCTAAACACAGAGGTCTCCTTGTTTGAAAAGGTGTTAACATTGACAAGTCTGATTTTTTAATCAAAGCAGCTATTTTCACATTAGTATATTACATTATATTACATTCTATAATAAATAAGTTAACCAATAAACAAGCACACAGAGACAGTTAATTTCAGCCCCTTGTTTCACATGCCAGCATGGCTTGTAAAACAATAAAAATGTGTGGATTAAATTACATTGTTTTCTGTCATCATATGTCCTACCAAACCATCAAAGGGCTCGACATTCTTGATTCTTTGTATTGTTTCCATGGAATTTCCATATGTAACATTTCTGTGTCAAGATCACTTAAAACAAAATAGCAAACAACAAACAAACAAATCCATCGACCAATGAGAAGAAGAAGAAGAAGGAGAAGAAAGAAAGAAAGAAAGAAAGAAAAGGAATAAAAGTTCGATTCTTGATAATTAAAACATGATTGGGATTTTTAGAATAATGACTTGTAAATACAAAACAATTGATTCACACGTAACATTAATGCCTAGAGTAGGTTGTTCAACAATCTTAAAGCTGTTTCACTTTTGAAACACATGATCTCATTTACATAGTCCAATCTATACCTTTTTACCTACTTCTAATGGTTAAACAGAGGATTTATACCTTATTGTTGAAAACAACAACATCAACAACAACAACAGCAGCAGTAATTAATAGTAGTATTTCATAGCTCAATTACATGGTGTAATTCCACCCGTTTGTATTGCAGGACAGCTTGGGGCAAAATAGGGCAAGAGCTGCTTCTACGTAGGCCGGACATTGACCTTCGCAACCAGCGTAAAAGGATACTTTGGTTCGCCACGTGGCGACGCCACGCTGTACATCTTTTGCTGTCCACGTCAATCAATTAGAAACTCCAGAGGAAAAGGTGTCAAGGATCGTTCGCTCATCTTTCGAACAGCGATGTTCCCTCCCAACGGAACTTTGGTACACATGGACGGGAGTCACGAGAACCAGCCAAGTGTTGCACATCCATCAGCTGCTTTTTTACGTGGCAGCTTAACTGGGTGTCTTCGAGACGCACCCAAAGAGTTACTGCTTGAAGCTGCTCCGTGCGTACGTAGTAAAAATTGAAAGGGGTAAAAGGTGGCTGAACCTTTTTTCTTTCTCCTGTTTGTTCAAATATTTGTCTATATAACTTTTTTTTTAATGTTTGTTTGTTTGTGAAAACCAAATATTTGTTGATTTTAGTTCAGTTCACTTCAGTGTGTGTGTATATGTATGAGACTTCATAATGGGAACTGAATAAACTGATTGTGAAGAATGTCATGTTAAGAGACACACACATAAAATTCAATATGTATTTTTGATACTGTAATATTAATGTATGCTGAATTAAAGGTTATTTGGTTTTGCCAGTGAGAACATTTGAATTGGTATGTGACATCATTTGCATGGGATGTTTATACATATAGTTGCTTGGATGCTTGGATTAAAGTCTGGAACCTTATTTTACAATTTGTACCTTTAAAAAAGCTTAAAGTTCTTATGGTTTGTGTGGATGTTAAATATTTTTATTTATGTTGTGATTGTCGTTTCATGTGCAGTCATCTGAAATCAAAATACTCATGTTTAGAACAATAGATCATGGAGTTTCATGTTTCTTAGTTCTATGATTGTATCAAGGTTTAGATTGTTTTACTGTATGTATATTAAAAGCACTATTTAAAAAATAGCATTTGTCAACAAAAAACTGTGTTTGATACAAATTATTCGCAACATGTCAAAAGATAATTTTGAATTAGATTTGTGAAGAAAGACGACTTTGAATCACATTTACAACAGAAGACAAAAAAATAAAGCCTGTACAGAGCAACCATAGATTTTTTTCTTGAATTTGAATTTTTGTTTTTTAAAACAAATTAATCCGGTGATAATTTAAAAAATTACAAAATTTTAATGCATCAGATGCATGGCCTTGTATTCTCCAGACAACCTCTACATCTCGGGGCTTAAACAAGCTGACAGTGTCCAGGACTGTTCTGCATGGAAAATGAGCGCGGAGTTAATCCGCAACTCGTGTGTACGTGGCGTCAAAATCCGTATTTACAAGGGTCTTTCTCCCATATGCCAGAGGACGACAATTACACTAAAAAAGGTCACGCCGTCGTGGCATTCATCTGGCGACGACGCAGCCCAATTCTCATCAGAATTAACTAGTTACCATACCATTGGGTTTCACAGGACACTCGATTTACACAACAGAGTGCAGGCTGGCCCAGATAGCTTACAAATAACGCACCACCCAGGGCCGCAGCCCAAGGCCAGTCAACGGGCACCGGGTCGGGCTGGAGCCCCTTCCAGCCCGGCCTGCCGACAATAGGGTTTCGGGGAACAGATGGAGAAAGAGGAGGCGACCGATCGCCATGAAGGCCTCGTCGGCCGCGTGTGCTCCTCATCCAACGGCGATGACGGCGCTCATCCAAGGGTCCAGATCCCGCCTCAGGCTGGCTGTCTCTACCCCTGGGAAACCCCGCTTCCCCGCTTGACATGAGAAAGAGTTGAAATCCATCACAACCATGATGAGCTTCCCTGTTTGCGGTGTTGTGACGAAGCTGGTTTTGGCACTCTTCCCTCCCGCGTTGTTTTAGAAGCCAGCGCGTTCGATTTCTTTTGTTCGCTCTTGTTCAGCTTCGAATCATGGTACGTAGCTCTGCTTCTTCGCTTTTTTTTTTTTTTTTTTTTTTTTTTTTTTTTTTCTTTTCGAGTTCGAGCTTTGTATGTCTGTTTTGTTTTGATTTTGTTACGTGCTTTTATTTTTCGTAGCACTCGCTGCCTACTTCACGCGCACTGCGATTATGAAACAATTTGGAGCTTGATGGTTTGGGATTTAACATCAGTGGAGGTGTTCTACGATACGATTGTCTAATCTCAGAGACGTTGTTTTAGCAGTTTATGCAAGCGTGGTCGTTTGTTGATAGATATTAACTGCTCCGTGCTGGAGATTGGTTAGTAGTGGCTCTAGTGGTTGCGCTGTTGTGTCGCAGTCATCTACACGGTGGTTGCGACTTTGATACGCTTTGAAGGTATTAAGCTCTCGTGTGAAGTATTGATCTGTTGATTTATCTCAATCGATTGGTGTTCTGTTTTTTCAGGCATTGCCCGGGCAGCAGACTCCCGACAATTGCCCGCACTTCAAACTTGTCATCGTTGGAGATGGAGGCACAGGTAGTGTCTACCTTTTGTAGCTTGAGTGGAGTCATCTATTTGTTTTGTCTCTGAGTTAAGAACTCCTGAGTGATGGTCTTCGAAAAATATCTCTGTATGGAAAAGCTTAGGTAAAGATGCTAAGAGTTCGCGTGGTTTTTGTTGATTCAGGAAAGACTACATTTGTTAAGCGCCATTTGACCGGTGAATTTGAAAAAAAATACGAACGTGAGTACAGCACTAACTGACAAACTGCCATCTCACCTGATCCTTCATAGTCTCATTCACTGGAGACCTATTGTGTCCGTAAGCAGCTTGATATGCATACCTGACGCCATTTGCTCCATATCTGAATCAGCTTTACTTGACATTGGTATGTGCAGCAACCATCGGCGTAGAGGTGCACCCGCTCGACTTCTTCACCAATTGTGGGCGCATCCGATTCTACTGCTGGGATACCGCCGGGCAGGAGAAATTCGGAGGACTTCGTGATGGATACTAGTGAGTTTCTCGTGGGTATAATGCATTATTGTTGAGTTTTGGGGGCACCGAGATTGTTGTGTTGGGTGAACCGAGTCCGCAGGCTAATCCTCATTGTGTTGCGCAGCATCCACGGACAATGCGCCATCATCATGTTTGACGTGACTGCAAGGCTGACGTACAAGAACGTCCCAACTTGGCATCGCGACCTGTGCAGGGTGTGCGAGAACATTCCGATCGTGCTGTGCGGGAACAAGGTGGACGTGAAGAACAGGCAGGTGAAGGCGAAGCAGGTGACTTTCCACAGGAAGAAGAACCTGCAGTACTACGAGATATCAGCGAAGTCGAACTACAACTTTGAGAAGCCGTACTTGTATTTGGCGAGGAAGCTTGCCGGGTAAGGAGGGTGTGGGAGATGGTAGTAGTAGAGTGCGGTGGTGGTGGAGGTACTGATGATGGATGCAGGGGGATAAATGTGCGGGGGTGGGAATTGGAGATTTCTGACGTGGTGTGGGTGGTGATGGCAGTGACCCGAATCTGCACTTCGTGGAGTCGCCAGCGCTAGCTCCTCCGGAGGTACAAATCGACATTGCGACACAGGCGGCGCTAGAGGCAGAGATCGCCCAAGCACAAGCGTTGCCTCTTCCCGACGACGACGATGACGCCTTTGACAGCTAGATTCTCGAAGCTTGTGCTGCTAGGCTGTGGCTGGTGGTGCTTTATGTGTGGTTGATCGCTGGGCGTGATGAGGGTGTAATGAAGGCGTATTTGTAGGCAGTTCACGACATTCTCTAATCCTGGGTAGATGAGGATAATGGACGGTCGTTATTGAGGAAAGCATTTTATTGTAGGTTAAATATAATTGAGGTGGGTCTCAGTTCCCTTCGAGAGCTCCTCTTGCCCTTCGTTTCTTTCATCACTGCACTCAACTTGATTAGAGGCGAAGGTTTTGTTGAAGGAGGAAACATCAAGTGAGACGATCTTGTTACCCTTATACGGCAGCTGATTTGGATAATTCCGGTGAAATGAATTCGAAGATACGGCTGTGCTTCTGTGCCAGCTTTAAGAAAAATTATTGTTGGACAACTCCATGTTTATCTTACCATGCTGATATGTAAAACTGCTGAGTGGAAAAGTCCTGAGAGTGTTCAGTGTCTTGGGTACTGAGCTGTTTATCGATTCAACAATGTACACGATTGAAAGTTGGTTCGAAGAGAAGTGAACACAGCTGAATGATATGTTTTGTGCAATGTTGGTACTGATGTTGGTAACTGACTGGAAGACATGGTTCGAAAACTTGACTAACATAGAGATGGGAGGTTGGGTTTACATTCATCATTTTTGAAAACTGTTTTTGTCTTTAAGGCTTAAAAACAATTAATTTATTTGGTAACTAGTTGAACATTCAATCTTGTTGAACCGAACATGCCTGTATCCATCGATTCGACATGATTGGAAAGTAAAATAGGCTAAGTAATATAGCTACTTCTACGTATGCTTTGTAACTGTTTTGACGAATGTATTTCAGACATTTATTACATGTTTCGAAAAGAAGGAAACCCCGAAAATGTACTTGTAGCCGTTGTTATAGACAATTATAGTAGTGATGAAAGTTTATCTTACTTGAACGTTCTGTTCCATGGAAACACTTTCTACTCTGACTGTGTACGCCCGATGTATTTGTAACAAATCCTTGAATGAGTGAAGCAATTGTCCAATGTTACCATTATCATATCTCCTTTATTAAGAAACACCCCTCCAAGGCCAAATCAAGGTTGTGTAAAAGCTTTTTCGTTACACTCTTCCAGTAGGTTTCAACTTCATGTTGTACATGCAGTTAATCGGTACCTTGATGAGATGATATCAATTATTGCCAAATTTTACAACTGTTGCATTTCGTGTGAATGCTTTCTAAATATGTCCGGGCTAATTGTTGTTTTAGAGATTTCTTTTAGTTGGTAGCTGTAGATGATGTTACTGTTACTGTTCAACTATTAAATGCTACTTGTCTCAATTATTTTTCTTTTCAAATAGACTCTTTTCACATCAACAAAACTCATATAAAGATTTTTCAACTAATCTTCTCTTATGAGTGATGATTTGGTTCCAATCATTATGTTTGATTTAATGCATCTTCTGTTCTACAAAACTTTATATTTTAGAGAGTGATATTTATCATTGTTTGCATATAGCCAAAAATAAATTGTGCTCATTCCATATTGTACTAATTCATTACAAAAACTTTTTCTATTCATTTTGTACTTCAGTGGTAATAATTAAATTAATACGAAAAATATCATTTTTTCTGTTATTAGAAGAGATTGTTATTTACAAATTTGTAAGTAACTTTTGCATAATAATAAAACATTGCTCTACATTTTTAATCTGATCGTCCAGTAGATTATCCAGTTGAGTACTTGAAGCTTTTGACTTTAAGTTTTTTATAAAATTTTAAAGTTCTAATACAAACCTAAATGTCGATAATGCATTTCTTCGCCATAAAACTGACATCTACATTATATTGCCTTGGCATATGCAACAAATCAACATACATGTAAAATAACAATGCATGACTTTCACAAATATTATATTAATTTCTTTGAGGATATTTTGAGTGCTTTAAAATGCAGTAAGAGATGAACTGAAAGAAGACAGTTTATTTTTTCATCAACAAAATTTGAAGAACATGTCACATAATTAAATATAATTTGTAACCTTTATGATTGATACATTAATAATAGTTTAATAGGCAATTGGATAAGATGATGATGAAACTCTAGATGTGATTGGTAATGAAGAAGATATATATTTTTAATTTATTGCTAACATCTCTATTCATGGGAATGGAAAAAATTACAACAAAATTAAAATTGGTGTAACTATATTTGTTGAGATAGATTTACAATCTTTGTTTACAGTGATTGTCAGTTGTGCAATGCCAGATGTTGTTTTATTGAAGTGTACACATCAACTATACAGATTTGATATTTAAATGTTTAGTGGAAAAAAATATGCGATTTGATGTAAATAATGATAAAATAAAATAAAAAAGAAACAAAAAGATAATTTATTGATAATAATGAGATGTAGGTACTAGTTTGACTATATATATATATATATATATATAATTTTATTTTTTTAATTTTTATATATCATCTGATAGTTGGTATACAATGCCACAAAATGTCGAACTTGTAGCAAAATATTATAGAATTTATCTTAATGTATACATTTTCAATCTAACCATAATTAAATTAAATAATTAATTAACTAATTTTTAGCATCCAATTCTTTTATGGTAAATAAAAATAATAGAAAAAATATATATGAACATATATAATATATAAGAATATGTGCAAGCATATGCATATAAATATATAAACATCTTTTGTTTTTTGTTTAATCAATTAAATTTATTTTAATTACATACAAGTATTTTTTATATATATATATAGGAAATTGCTAAAACAATATTCTATATTATTAAAGTCTCACTCAAAAAGGTATTGTCATTGTATATATCACAATCATATTTAAGATTGCACTTTGCAATTCCTTTTGGGACATTTTAGAGAAGATCAGCAAGTGTCAAATAAATGATATTGAACTTTTATATTTAAAAAATAAAAATAAAAATTATAATAAGCTATAGGAAAGATAATATCATAATGTAATAATAAACTATAAATAAAATAAAATAAAATAAAAGATGTATAGTTACAAAATAGAAACAAGTTAGAATAAATATTGGCACAGATAGAGGAATTAAAGAGTCTTGAATTAAGATCAAAATAGAAGAAATTTATTAAAAAGATTAAATATAGTCTTATTATTACGTCTATACAAACTACATATTAAGAATGTAATGTGATAACTTTTTGGGAATCCTAAAACTTGTTGCTTATGTATCCAACTTGTAGATTATTTCTACAGTAGCATCTGAAAGTTAAATAAAATTTTGGAGAGGTTTTCATAACCATGTAATATATCCATGAAAATAAGTAGATCTAATATACATTAATAAAATTTCTTTGTTATATTTTGAAATAGATGTTATTTATTTAATATGTTTAAAACTACTTCTACTTTCTTCAATTTATTTATGTTTATCTCTTACATATTTTTCTTTTCTTAACTTGTATGGGCATCTTTTAGATTAACTTCTTTTATAAATAAATTTTCTACAAGAAATTGTGGAGTTACTTTATGGATTGATGAGGAGCAAGATTTAGTAAATAATGTTTTATTTTTAATTTATACTCTATATAAAGATAATAGATAATTATTTTAAACTACATATAATCTTATATATTTAAAAAATAAGAACATCTATATATTTAATTATTATTATTGCATCCATAAGCATCTTTAAATAAGACACTTCAAATGCCATCAAAGATAGTGTCTATCTCTAATAATATCTCTAAGTATAAAGACTCGCTTATAAGGTCATGGTACTACACATGTTGAATCTCATTATCTATTTGAAGAAGGCTATGTCTTTTTTAAAGATCTTCATTTTAATTTTAGTATTGTAAAATTTGATGCAATTTCAAGTTTTTTATTTAGTAATTTTGCAAATAATAGCTCTTATGATAAATTTACTTTCTCTTGGTTTTTCAACTTACATAAATATCTAAAAATTAATATATATATATATATATATATATATATTTGTTTTATTTTTTGTTTTTTGTTTTTTATAAATTTAAATTATATACCTATAAACAAATGATAATTGATTCAGGAAAATACTATTAATGGTAGTAAAAATACATTTTGGCTTATATTCAATCTTTTTAGATAGGTCTCATATACACTCACTAAGTACATATTTATTCTAATTTATTTGAATATTTTTTCAAATCAAAGTTTTATTTTATTTTATTTTTTTAAATCTTAAATTTTTTTAATCTTAAATGTATGTAATAGTACTTGCTTTATATTCACCATTGTCATATAAATATAAAAATATAAAATTTCTATAGAGGAAAAAATAATTAAACATAGTGTCTAACAAACAATAGTAGTTTGTACAAGAATAATAGTTATTAATGCATATTGATGCTTTTTAAGCAAAAGATAGTCCAATTTCAATAAAAAGAAATAGAATTTTCATATTTTTTGTATGACTTTTCAAATTGTGAAGGGAGTGATTTTAAACAAGCTTCTAAAATGACAATACATTTATATGGCACTAAAAAGTATGAAATAAAATAAAGAATAGATATTGTTATAATATATATATATATATATATATATATATATATATATATTAAAATTTAAAATTTAAAATATAGATTATTGAATAAAAATAATAAAATAAAAAATATATGTGACACATTTATATTACATTTTAGATTATATCAAGAGGCATTTACAAATTTATAACTTCATCCGAAATTTTTTGTATAGAATGATAAAAACTATTTTTGATTTACAAACTAAAATTAGTCAATATCATGTAGAAACATACCCTCATACAAGTTTCATTTCCAAGAAATAAATAAACAAATAAATAAAACATTAAATTTACAACTTCAAATATAATGTTTTTGAAAAAAAATAAAAATAGAAATTAAAATTAGTACTCATATTATTAATGTAAGATGTAAGAATTGCTATCAACATTTGGTCTAAGACTATTTCTACTTTTATTAAAATTAATTTTTATCATTAAATTTCCCACATAACAAATAAAAAACTATTTTTTGTTGGTTTTGGAATGTCATCTTATTCACATATTAAGTCTTTGTCAACCAACTCAAAGACTAGAATTCTTTTTATTTCCAATACACAATATTTGATAAGTACCTACCATAAGTTTACAATCTGGTAAAAAAATCTATAGTTCACAATGTTTTATGCTTCAAGACTATTTATATTTAGTTTTCCACTATTATTAATGGTCATTAAAAAAAGTCATCTTGGTGGAATATGGTAAAAGATACTAGTTTATAACTATATAAGCCATAAAAAAAGGAGAATGTTAAATATATTTAAGTGTTTAGTAAATTCACTTATCCACAATAAAGAATACAATAATCATGGTGAATGTGGTTGGTATTCATTGGTTTTAGATCCAATAGTAGAGAAATGAATTTCGAGGTCATTTTTTTTCCATGATGGGTGGGTAAATTTAGTAAAAGCTTGGGTCTATTTAAAATTCTCCTAAAAGAAAAAAAAGAAAAAGAAAAGAAAAAATCTTAATTCACCACAAAAATGTGATAGGATATGGACCTCCAATGAAATAATCTACAAATCCATAGTGGGAACAAGAGTCGTCTAGATTAGAAAATATTCTCCTTCAAATATCTACGAGGATCCATATTAATAAAAACAAATAAATTAAAATATTAAATATGAACCCATTAGTCTGACTACGTGGAGAGAAGGGGCGGTCATGGACCCCCGATTCAAGTTCCACGACAGTCCCACGTGCGAGGGGTATCGAGCATCGGTCCCCGTATCCACGCCATCCATCGGCGCCCAGTACTGACCCTGAAATTATCCGAGTCAGATAAGCATGCCAAGTCGACAGAGGCCAAGTGGCAACCCCCTATAGAAGCAAGCTTCTCGCAGCTTCCAGTTTCCATCTCGCTCTGTTCTAGTCTCCATTTTCGAAGCTCCCTCCTCCTCCTCCGCGTGCTGCCAAGCTTTTGCACCGATTTCGATCCCGTTGGTTTTGTCTTTTCAAACCACGATTGACACCAGTGCTAGCGCATACCTCGGTCCTGACGCCGCTTCCTGTGCGATTCTCACCCTGAGGAGTTTCGTTGTCTAATTTGTCTTCTATGACCTGTTGTAGGGTTCGAAAGCTGATCTTTGTTTCGAGTTTTTGGAGTGTTCTGCGAGTCGCGTTTTGGTTTAATGTGAAAGTGGATGTTTTTTTGTTTTTTGTTTTTCTGCTGCACTCTGATTTCACCCGTTTTCTATTTGTGCTACATTGCAGAAGTCTGTTCGATTTCGTCATGGCAGACACAAAGATTATCAAGGAGGAGAACCCTGAGCTTTTCAGGAACCCTGGGAAGGGTTGGGTAGACCATGTGCATCAGCAGAACCTTAAGAAGGGCATTGAGCGTCTAGATCGGCGTTCGGAGCACCCGAACAAGGGCGCTGTGAAGAAACACGGCCACGGTGGTAAGTTTACGGTCGACGGGCCGTACCGAGAGGAAGACTACGCCAATCCTGTTCCCGTTGCGATGGACAAGAACGATCCCAACTACGTGGACCCTGAAGAAGAAGAGGCCGACAATGACGCAGGAGTTCCTGTGAGCGACACTGCCAAGGATGCCGACACCAGCGCTGGCGCTGCACATCCAGCAGTATGACTCCTCAGTTTTGTAAACCTTTTGGTTCTCCTACACGAACGTAACCGTCGCTGACAATGGGACGTAGAGCCTTGGCGTGTTTAGTACGACCGCATTCTGCTCGCGGGGAGCCTTAAGACATCCGCAAGCTTAACCCCAATCCTAGTAAATACTTCCTATGCGATACATCTCTCAAGGATATATTAGCGATTCCAACTAAATGCATAAGTGTACATAATTAGTTATCAGCATTCAGTTCAAACGAGGGTTGTGTGAGTACGAACTAAATGCTGAGATGTATACAGTGATCCAGCTTCATATGCAATTTAGTTAAGCCTGCCATATTCGAATCCTAAGCAAGGTGATGGTAACTACCAGTGCATGAAAATTCAGTTCGTTGCAGATTCATCGATCATCAGTGTTCAAGATTGCAATTCGATGCTACAGAACTGAATTCATTTGGCAATTGGAAGGCATTGCTTGTTCACATCGTGACTTAGATTTTTGCTCTTGCTCTAGTAAAGTAGAGCCTCCGGTTCGAGATTCAACAGCTATTCCTCTTCTTCCAAGATGAGATAGTATCTTCTGTCTACATGTACGGTGATGTCTTGATTTAATAAAACATTTGCATCGTGTTGAATCATGTCGTCGTGGAATCCATGCACGGTGTTGTCACAAGAATGTTGCACTTGTCACACGCGGCACTCTTTAAATGTAGTGAATTGGAGAAGCTGGCATGCAACTTTTTTACAGTTGCGCCGAGGTATTACATTCAGAGTTTTGAAGTGAATGTAAAGGACAAACAACACAATAACATTTGTTCCAGCACCAAAGCTTACCAGAAGTCAAGCTGAAACATCAAATGCTAACTATTTTCTTACATTTCAAAATAAGTTACTAAAAATGTTCCATATATACTAAAAATGCTAAATATAAAGTATTTTGCATAAATGTTTTTTTTTTTTTTTTTTTTTTTTTTTTTTTTTTTGTGTATTATTTTTGCAATAGGTAGTCTCACTTGTTTGCTTGAATATTTTAGAGCATTGATGTAAGTGTAAAAAATCACATTGAACATTCAGTCAATAAATTCTAAGTAATGTCATAAGAAAATACTTATATATATATATATATATATATATATATATATTTGTTTAATCATCAAATACTTCAAAGTGAATGTTTAATTATCAAACAAGTAGTGGACATATGAATTAAAATTTCTATACTATTCAAATTAAATTGTGAAAATATATATATTTTTTTAGTTTTTTAGTTTTTATATATCAAAAGAAGTATGGTAGTATTTATATTTTGAATATACAATCATTTTATTAAATTTACAATAAAATATAATTTTTAATGAAATGATTTTAATTTATCAATTTATCATAGAGATGTATAATTGTACCTTGCATAATTTATAATGTTGGTAGATGAAAATTTAATAAATTATACATGGTTTATAGATTATGTCGAATTGTATAATTTCAACATTTTAAGGTGATTTGAGCTATAAAAGAATATATAATCAATGTTGTGCTATTAATTATGCAAAAATGTGTATATTAATTATAGTTTAATTGGCTTCAATAAACTTCTCATTATTAACACATACAATGAACTATTCTTTGGTTTCATCATCATCTTCTTCTTTTCATCTTCTCCTTGTTTTGTAGCAAAGAAAAATCTAACCTAATGAAGGTTAAGTAATTTTTAAAAGGCACTAATAAAATTTTGTTTCTTTGATATAGTATGCAACTATAATGATATGCCAAAAGACGAAGAAAGCAAATATAGAGATAGTTAGTAGCAAAAGTTGGAAAAAATGCAAGCACATTGTACAAATTATAAGATCTCATTGTTTTTTGGTTTTATAACTAGACACACAAAATTAACAAAATATAACTAATAAAAATGTACAACTTTTTTTTTTTCACTCTTTTTCATGTCAAAATTTGAAAAATGTTCAATATCAAAAAATTACAAAAAATTAAATTAGATGCATACTTTAATTTGACCTTGCAAAGTAAGCAAAAAAAGAATTTAGTCTTGTCAAAGCCCTCTTACAACCAATAATTTTGAATACTTTTTTACATCATGAAGAATATAAGAAAATGAATAGTGAAGAATTAGCCAATTGTTGCAAATGCATGCTTCATGTTTTAGGAGTAGATTTAGCATTATAAAGATAGACAGATTAATATCAATTGTATTGTCATTTGTAAGAAAGAAGAAAAATTGTGCAAAATGTTCAACATTTTTGAAGAGAAAAAAATCCAAGTTTTCAAATGGTTAGATGGTTCATTGCAAAAATAAATAAATAAATAAATAAATAAAAATTATCTTTTCTCCTTGTATAGAAAGAGCAAAAGTGTAGATGCAATGACAATAATAGAATATTTATTTAAGTTGAGAGATTTGATCATGAAAATATTTTAATATGGATGAATTGGTGTCGTATTATGTGAAAGTCAAACCAAGAATATATTAGCCATTTAGTTGATTAATGGTTTGATCTTTCTTTAAAGTTTGATTTACAATCCAAAAAAATGCACAAGGCGTTTAGAAACACCCTTTAAGTAACTTGAATAACCTAAATAAGCTCCTAATTATCCTAAGTATATCCTATTAACCTTAGAAAAATCCTAAATAAGTCTTATTATACTAAAATCAATTCCAAATAAATCTTAAACAATCCTTAACAAACTTGAATCAAATTCTAATTAAACCCTAATTGAATCTTAATTAAATCTCAAAAAATCCTAATAAAAATTTAACAAATTTTAATCAAATCCTATTCAAATCTAAATAAAATCTTATCAAATCTTGATCAATTCCTAATTAATCTAAAGTAAATATAACCAAAATTTAATAAAATTTTAAATAAATATTAATTAAATCCTAAAAAATTCTTATAAAATCCTATAGATAATTCAAAACTTCAATAATTAATAATTTAATTAATAATCTTGAGTTAAAATTTGTATATTTTTTAATTTCTTAGTTGAAAATAAAGAAAATAAATTTAAAGGGGATTGAACTTACAAATTGGAAGAAACATCTTATAATCTGTTGAGGTGTTGGTAGGCCTCCTTCTCCAATCTTGATGCCAATCTCCTAATACCAAATTCTCTCTTTTCTACTATTCAATTGCTTTCAAATTTTACATAATTATTAAAAAACCAAATTTGATATTAGTTTGCTCAATTTTTCTTTGATCCAATTAGTTGATTGTTGCAAGTGTTAAAAATCTTTATTTGAATTAAAAATCCAAATACTAAGTCCTTAATCCAATTGAATTTAAATAATCTTTAATCTAGCCATCTAATCAAATTTAAGTTTTTAACATACATTTAATATATATATATAAATTCAAATTTTTTACTTATAGATTTGATATAAAGTTCTAAAATATAAATCTTTTATTATTTCACAAATCTTTTAGTAGATTATATGTAATATATACTGATCTTGTTAATGGCTATATTAATATTATAATGCAATCAACAAAGATTCTATTAGAAACTTCCAATTCATGAAGAATGTTTTGATTAAGCTTTTCCATGATTTTTGTACTTTACAAACTTTTAGTTGTCAAGGTGTAATATTATGTGAAAACATATTAAGGCTTGCATGTATAGTTGAACTCTAGTTCTACAAGTACCAACAAGTCTAACCTATTACTGAAGATGAATTGATTAAGGAAATATTTTTGAAGTATACATTTAAAGTTTATTTCTACTATTGGAATGTAAATCCAAGGAATCATTTTGATCATCATGGAAGTAAAGCAACAACTTTATTGGATGATGTGGTGTAGAATACAAAGATTGTGAATAGATGCCATATAAATGTAGAAATCCTATTGATAGCTTTGAAGCTTAAAGAACAAGATAAAGTATATAAGATTGAAAATAGTAGAAGCTCAAATAAAAATGATGAAATGTCTAAAGAAGCAACTCACAAGGTAATTAGCTTTAAAAACAAATAACTCATAAAAACTACATTCAATCAAGTTGGACAATTAGAGGTGGACATATTATTGAATGAAATTAAAAAATCAAATTTAAAAATGATGCACCTAATAAGTTAAAAAAAAATGAAGTTGTAGATAAAATTAATAAGCACATAGACCAAAAGTTGAATAACATGCAATGCAAATTATTGGTTAAGAACTTAAAAAATGCTACTAAAGTAATCAACTATTCAATTCAAGTACAACAATATCACGTACCTTTGTATATATACATTACAACAAGAGATGTGGTTATAAGAGAATAGTTGATCGGTAGCTTGATACCAAGTTTGAAATAAGTACAATTGTATGTGATATATAAATACAAAGAATTCATATATATATATATATATAATTGAGAGACAAAAACATTGAGATGTTAGATTACCTTGATAACATCAAACTTACCTTAGCATATTTTAGAAAGTACAAGGATATCTTAAGTGATGCTACCTTATATTACTAATGACTTTGCAACATCTAAGATTAAATCTTAAGATTTAATAGTTGGAATGGCTCAAACGAGTCAATTGAGTTACAAACTTTGAAAGATACTTAGTGACAAGGAATGTGTAACTTATTGCTTGCATTTGAAAAATCGAATCTTAAGATTATAAGTATTAAAAGCTTGATGTCAATAAATTAATATGAATCTAGTCTAAAAATTGATAAAATTACAATTTACAACAATAAATTGAAGAGCAGCAGAAATAAAACTCAATGAATTGAGCTACAAGGATTTGCAATTGGTAGTAGAAAGAGAGATAAAGTGTATAGATTTGATGAATTATTATAGACTTTAAAATAGAGATAGATCCATTGTTTTTGTCTTCTAATTAACTATAAATCTACATTATTTGAAAGAAATGATATCTTAATTTTTAACACCATTCAAACTAGATATCTTAAAAGTCAATGTATATTAAATCAAAAGTACCTCCAAAATAATAATTATTGATTTCTATGAATCATAGTAAGTCACTAGATTTGTAATTAATTTTTGAATTCTATTATATTTTTTGATTTTCAAGTCTTGGTCATTGTTTAAAAACATGTTTTGTATTTATTGGTGTGTATATATATATATATATATATATATATATATATATTAGTATTAAATAAAGTGAATAATCTTTGTGTATAGATAATGAACATATTGAGCCTTTTCAACTCCTTGTCTATGCTCATCTTTATACTTGCAGACTCATTTTTTTGTGTAAGCTGTAATCTTATTTTCATTGGTTACTTTTCTCATCATTTTTTTATTTGTTCAATGCTTTTGTTCTAGATCATTTGCTACCATGTTAGCAAATTTGTTTAGTTTAGAATCCTTTTCTATTTATAGAATAAGAAATCACATATATACAAATTTCATAACAAGTCTAATATTTTGCCTTAAACTCAAGAATCTCAACTTGCACATGAAATTTTGTTGAGCAGTGATCATTTACAATCTAAGTATAGAAGGCTATTTGCATAAGCATTCTTGCATTTACTTTTGATATGTTATATTAAAATCAATTTTAATATATATTTTTAATCTTTTATTTTAAAAATGTTATAAACTAAATTATTATTATTTGCATATTTTAATATTTTAATTTTAATTTATATATTTTTTATACTTAGTATTTAATTATTAAAATATTAAAATATTAAGAAATATATATTTTATATTTATTTAGTTATTTAGGATATTATTAATATTATTGAATTTTTTACAAATTCCACCATTATTTTTCCATCTACAAAACATATTTTTTTAGTTTTTTTATTCCAATAAAAAATTATATCCAATTATATAGGTTGAAAGGTATTGAAGAAACATGGCATGTGGTTGATGAGGAATTGTGGCAATAGTAGTAAAAAATATGGTGGCATTAGCAATATTATTTATTTTTGCTTAATTTTAGAATAACTTTTATTTACTATATTTTTTTTGTATACATATTTCAACATGTGAAATAGCTACTAATATACAAAAAATCATATTATTTAGAATTATTAATAAAAGCTTTTTAGATGTTGTTTTGACTTTAAATATATTTGTAGTTGATTAATAGATTAGAAACTTAGTCAACAAGCTATCCATAGGCCACATGTATTGGTAGCTTGTGGAACAAGGTAACTATGTGGCACCTATATAGAAAACTTGCCTTGCAAGTTAAGATACATGTCATACAAAGTCAAGACATTTTTAGAGGTCCTATAAAATGTTGCTACATAGATTCTATATATATATATATATATATATATATATAAACAAGAATGAGGCTTTATTTACTCTTGTCAATTCTTTTTTTGTTTCTAATCTAGTTTCAACAGTCTTTAGTTTATTTGTCTTTTGATAATAGCTATTATAATTTCTTTTTAATATACACACTTCTTTATTTCTATTTTGTCACTTTTCTTTTGATACAAATTTCCTAGGTTTATGCATCTTCTTTCAGTTCATGTCGTTGATAGATTGACAAGAGTACACTTATAATATTAGAGCTTTGTCTTGTCTTGATTAAAAGTAGATCATTCTTTTCTCTTGATAAGACATGAGTGTATTGGAAGTGACATATTATCCCATTTTCTTGATAAGACATGAGTGTATTAGAAGTTGAGGATTATCTTCTTCTAAACTAATATTGTTCTTATTATTTTCTTTGTTCTTAAGTCTTTTTTTTTGCTTGTTATGAGTGATATTAAACATTTTTTTTCTAAGTATTATTATAATAAAGCTTCTTAAAATAAAGAATGTAATGGCACAAATGCAAGAACAATTGAGAGAATTGATGCTTACAATACATCAACTCAATTTATCGCATATATTCGAGTGAATCGTATCATGCAAAGTCTCCCTAACATGTGTTTTCTTAGACCACAGATCCATAAACAAGAACAACAATGCATGTAAAATACAATGTATACCACAAACTAGGATAACCAAGTGACCCCTTCACAACTCTGTCAAAAACGTTGAGGCAGAGAGATTATTCTAACATTGCATCACTATCATTTGCTTTACACCGATGTGTGAAATGACTCATCTAGCTGAGACTGAAAGAGATGTTTAGTCATAAATTAACGGTACTCGTCCTCTAAGTTCCTGAATCCGGCAGTCAAATCATCATACAGTTTCTTGTATCTCTGAGTCAGCTCATCCTCGCCATCAGCTGGATCCTCAAACTTCATAGACCTGCACAGCCAAACGAAAATAATCAATCGCATGCGGCACAAGTGTGGGAATAAGAAAAACGAAAAGAGCAAACCAACTCACAGCATGGCCGAAGAACCAAAGAAATGATTGAAAGAGTCGTGACAGCGAAATCATAAAGCAATAGATAGCATCACTTACACAAGCCGATAGATGATATCACTTAAACGCTGCTTGATGATGTTGTAGGTGATTTTCTGTCCTTCTGAACCGGTAGCTCGCTCAACAGCCTGGGAACAACTTTGATCAAGGTTTTAGAATGGAAACTACCAATCCAAGCAGCTTACTATGGCCTCAAAGTTATAGACGTGCCTCTGACAAAGTCATGCTCTGAAGAAGGATATCAAGATGACCTAAAACTGTGACAATAACCAACAAGTAAACATGTTGATCAAGATATGAACAACTAATTGAAGAGCAGTAATGACCGGAAAAACTTGATGCCAACTGTACAGTAAGAATCGAGTGAGAGAAAGACCTGATTGGCAAGAGTGTTAAAGTGGACAATATTGCGCATCATCCATACTGATTTATAGAATGGGCAGAACTTATCATAACTGCCACCCATGAGGAACCCACATCAGACTTGGATAGAAACATCCATAGATTAGGCAAGCTGTCATCCACAACTGCAATCTATTATAACGAAATGCATAACACTCAGTGCCAATGCCCTGTATCTGCAGCTAACATGTGTTCACGTTTCATCGGCCATTTTTCATCAATTCAAGAACACTTAAGCTTTGAGTAGAGTCAACAAAGTAAGACTCACCTGCTAAAGGCGTTCTGTGCCAAGTAGTCCTCACGCAAGAGTTTAGCAACTTCCAAAGTAATCTTGTCCGTTTCGGCCAAAGCATCTTTACCAACAAGCTGTAACCAAACAAGCTTGTCAGTGAGTATAAGTTGGTAACCAAATCGAGAACTGGTAAGAAAACTTCCGAGGTTTCAAGGAACGTACATGAAAATCAAAAAAGGAAACATCTCTGACGAGACAAAGACACCAAGGGCTGCAGGTACTACACCTGAACAATCTCATTCAAATCATCCTCTCGCTGCAAGACCTCTCTGGCCTTTGTTCTAATACCAATAAAATCAGAGTCGAAGTTTTCATAGAAACCCTCCAGAGCCTGCAACATTCGATAAGACAGAGTCATATAGATATGAAAAACAAACAAAACTCAAACAATCTAGTACCAAAGTAATGGGATTGAATCAGTTAGAGAAAAATCGCACCTGCGTGTACTTGGAGTAGGAAATGAGCCAGTTCACTGCTGGAAAATGTTTCCGCTGAGCAAGTTTCTTGTCGAGCCCCCAAAACACCTAATCAACATGCATTTACAATATGCTTTAGTTCCTTCGCTTGGAAGACATGCAACATCATAGCCAACTTCTCATGGGCTTTGGCTTAGAGAATATCTGGTAGAATGTGGTGCACTGGATGAGAGGAGGTACAAATACCAACCTGAACAATACCAAGGGTAGCTGCTGTGACAGGGTCTGAAAAATCTCCACCAGGAGGGGACACTGCTCCAACAATGGTAACACTTCCAGTACGATTCGGGCTTCCCAGACACTTCACTTTCCCGGCTCTTTCATAGAAAGAAGCTAATCTTGCAGCAAGGTAAGCTGGATAACCACTGTCAGCAGGCATCTCAGCCTGAAGCCCCACAAGTGATCACATATTAGCAAAATATCTGGAAAGTAGCATTTCTGAATTGTCTGGCTATGCCCTGAGCAAATATTTTTAAATATTATGATAAATGTTAGTAGATCAGCCAAAATGAAAATCCAACAATGCTAAGACATACTGGATGGTCAGAACAACAATGACTAGAACACGTATCTAAATCTATTAAATGAATATGGTATAAGAACATACAAGCCTTCCGGAAATTTCTCTAAGAGCCTCTGCCCAGCGAGATGTTGAGTCCGCCATCATACTGACATTATACCCCATATCCCTGAAGTACTCCGCCAAGGTAATACCTGCAACAGATAACAAAATGTGATGAACGTAAAATCCTTCAAGATTTCAAACTTTAAGGTCACATTGCGATCAAAAGTTAAGCTTCAGAATAACTCAAGATGGGAACCTGTATAGATGGAAGCTTCACGAGCAGCCACAGGCATATTTGATGTATTGGCCACGAGAGTGGTCCGCTTCATAACAGACTCCTCTCGTCCGTCAGGCAAGGTCATCGTCAATTGCGGAAAATCCATGAGCACCTACATACAGCAACCCAAGGATGTTCAGTATACGCCCCTAGAGAAGCACTTCATACAATACTCCACTTGACGAACAAGAACGCGCAAGTAGCTTTATAAACGTCCAAAAAGCTCAAGTAATTTAATTGCTGGCCCAGAAGGTCATAATATCACACCTCAGCCATTTCATTCCCACGCTCTCCACAACCAACGTAAACAACAGCATTGGAGTTGGAATACTGCGCAAAAACAATTAAATGAGTCGAGTGTCATTACCAACACCACTTTTGCAGGAAAAACATAAGTAAAAACCACAGAACTAAGATCCCATGAAATGAAATGAAATGCAAAAAATTCAATCAGTTGCAACCAACTACCTTAGAAAGTGCTTGACTGATGACGGTCTTCCCACAACCAAATGCACCAGGAATGGCGCAGGTACCTCCAAGGACAGACGGAAACAGAGCATCCAGTATTCGCTGCAAAAGGGGCAATTCAAAATAGAAGCAAAGGAATTTAACGTTGGCAGTGCAATATAAAAAGCACGAAAACATAATCGGTTCATGGATTCCCAACACAACTATACAAAGTGGTATTCTATGTGAATCACCTAAAAATATCATCAATAGATTACATGTACTATACCAAAATGTGAGCAGAATATCTGAAAGGATAAGAGAGCAAATACCTGACCAGTGAGCAGAGGAGTATCAGCAGCAAGCTTCTCGGCAACAGGTCTTGGTGTTCGGACAGGCCATGCCTATTTCCAGGACAGAGGCAACATTATCAGTGACTGAGAAGTAAACAAATAAGAGACAATAGAAAAGAATAATCGACAGAAGAAATTAAGAATAATCTCCACAAGGAAAAAATAATTAGAAGTACTGAGAATTATGAGAACATTTTTTCAATAAACTCGAAAAGTACATATGGAGAAATATAAAGTTTTACCTGAAGCATGGTAAACCTTTTCTTCTCTCCTTGAAACTCAAGTTCAATTACTTCATCCTATCCATGTACCAACGTTGCACGTTTAGTCCTCAATAAGTTATGCCAACTAGGTCCCTGTACAAATTTTTCCGTGAGAAAACTGGTTTAGCACCACAAAGATATTAATCAACCCCACAAAAGACCTACCTCAATCGAGTACTCTCCATCAGGGGCGATGTAAGTGACTTTCCCCATAGCACCAGGTGGCAATCCGAGATGATGTTCAATCAAACTGTTTTCATAGACAGTCTGCACATCCCATAAAGACCCAGCAAAAACATCACTGACTGAATCATGTGGACCACATTCGTTAGCTATCAATTGAAGGTAAGATCACATACCAGAACATATACTCAGTTCTAGCAGAATGCTGACACTCTTTACAATGAACAAAGGTTATCCTCCTAGCTTTGTTAACCTATCACAACACATGATTGTTCACTCCAGCAGCAATCAGTTCATGAAAAAAAAGTACTTACTCCGTATAAATCACCTCCCGTAATAGCATCACCAATACCTAACACGTTTACAAAACAACACGCAAAAGACAAAGGGTGGTTAGTAAGTTTTAAGTTCGTAGCATGGTACTGAAGCTAGAATCTAATAATAGGCTAACACTGTCAGAAAAATTCTGATGTGTAACACTGATGCAATTTGCTTTCACAGAAGACTAGGGAAAGTTCTAAATGTACTTGGACCAGATATACGGATATAACAAAGAGGGACACATAAGTACAGAACTCACTCAAGCCTTTAGGTTTGAATTCCCACTGCCTCTTCCTATCAAGAGCAGGGACTGCAACTCCACGGGGGATATACACATCTTGACACTGAAGCGCAATGGCCTTCAAAGGTCGCTGATACAGAGAAGCGCACAATAGCGAAACAATGTCAAGAAAATATGTAACTTGTAATTCCTATATTAACAATACTAAAGCAAGCAGACGGGTGCTGCATTGAACAATCCTGAGTCCAAGCGATGAGTTAACAATTTCAAGAAGAGTACAGAACTTGCTCGGATCACATAAGTAAACATAGAATTTCACTAAAGAAACACAATTTATTCCAAAGACATGTCGTTAGTGAAGCAACTAAAAAAGCGTCACTTCGCATTAGGGCTGAAACTATACCTGAATACCATCAAAGATATTCTCCAGAATACCAGGACCAAGCTCGACTGACAGGGGCTGCGATACAGACATCACATTATCTCGAATTAAAAGGTTCCGTAACGATACCCGACATGTTAAACATAATGAGCATGAGTGGTGCGATGTCATGCTCAGGACGAAATCGTAAGAAGATTCGCATTCCCGAAGCAAAGAGGTGGATGATGAACAGTTCAACAAATTTGATCAAACAAGTTACCTTGTGTGTCCGCAGAACAGGATCGTTGACCATCAATCCCGCTGTCTCTTCATAAACTGCACAAATTACAAACTTAAGCTTTTTCAACAACAACTTACATAACTTTCGATGCCTCACTTCGGTAGCTCTAAGCCTGAAACGATCATATCAATTGCAGACAACACATAAGCACCCTGTTAAAAAGTTAGTGAGAGGGAAAATAAGGCATATGTGCTCAGACAGACTAGCTAATTTCACAAATCCCTTTACCAAAAGAACTCGCATACCTTGGATAGTGGCTGAATCACCCTCAAGTCGAATTATCTCTCCAATCAACTTATCATGTCCCACACGAACTAACTCATACATAGCTGCTCCTCCCATTCCATCAGCTACCACCACTGGCCCGGAGACCTGACAAGAATTAAATACATCAATCAGTAACCATAAAGATGATGTTTACTTAACATCAGAGGAATCATGTACTAAGCCCTAATTCTGTGAAGTGACTCTGTAGAAAACAGCCCAGGTCATAGAGCGGCACAAATGAAGAGCCTTAAGTATTCCAACGCATCAGTTACGTCTCTACATTACCATAACCCCTCTTTCCCTCAGGATAACAGAGGTGAAGGAACCAGGTACAACCATGAGGTATTGATTACAAGGTTTCTCTATATCTTTGCGACGCAAGACAAGGATTCTCGAACATAGAAAAATAGGAATAATATTGCAGGTTTTTAATTGAAGCGAAACAATAATTCTAAGTGAGTTTCATTTCAGCTGGTACCATAAATAGCGCAATACATTTCAATCAAGAGAACGATCCGCGTTGCAATTGTTCAGCCAGGTAACTGATTGTGAAGTGATAAATCAAGTAGTATCGCAAGAATAGGATCTCAATCGTTTCCACGGACAAGACAAAGAAAAAGGTGAACTCGGGCACTGCACGCCTAAAACCTAATTTTGAAATCCGAGACCAACACCTGCCGAAATCCCAAATTCAATCTCAGTAAACTATACATTTTATCTCAACTTGTGGACTGGATCTTACAATCTCTCAACTAGAATCTAGTGCTCGCAATACTGTAAAATCACCGTATTACATCCTAACCAGCAACCTCCGTGCTTCTAATGCAACACGAACCAAGAGTGTGGAGCACGGGTTCAAAATCGAGATGCATTTAATACCGATTCAAGATCGGCAGTCCGATAAAATGGCTCGGACACATCACATTGACAGTGCTAAATACAAAACCATACCCAAACTGGATTCACTACTAAGAGTGACACATCAAACCAAAAAAAATCTCCATCACAGCAAAATAAGCGCAGGCGGACACTGTACCACGTCCTGACCTCTAGCACTACCCCGCCCATTCCCTCCACTCCAACATTCCACTCTCCTCGATCACGCCACGAAAAAGTGCAGAAAATCTCAATCGATCCGGGCACTCATCGCGCACGCAGCAATACAATGAGGGAAAGAACACCAGACATGCGAAATTGAGGGATCGGTGAAGGAGGATGACCTTGCGAACGTATCCATACTCGCTCTCCTGTTCACCTTCTTCGAAGGTGAAGAGACGGTCGCCATTGATGGCAGGCATGGTGGCGAAGCCCTAGGGCAGTGCGGGAGCGGAGCAGAGTGGGATCTGGTGCAAGGCGAGGGGAAATGTGGCCCCAGGAAGCAGCCGAGGAGGAGGAGCACAACGCGGCGGCGATGTGAAGGCCTGGAGAAGCAAGCAAGCAAGCAAGGGTCACGAGATCCACCTCTGGCTCTCACTCTCTCTCTGTCTCTCTGTCTCGCTCTCCTCTGGTCTTGGCCAGCGTTGAAGGATGCTGTTGACATGTCCCTCCTCTTCATATTTACCACTCTCACTCCCTTCCCTCCAGCCTGCCAGCTGCCGCGTCCTTTTTTAGGGGTTTGCGCCAATCGCTGTCGCTCCGACGTGGCACCGACGGGTGGTAGATGGATGGATGTACGGTAAGTGGAGTGGATGGGTGGATGGGTGGATGGATGGTGGAAGGATGACGGGTGGATGACTGACGGATCGTGTATGGATGATAACATTCATCTATATTACAATCGTGTATGGATGATAACATTCAAAAAATTACAATCGTGTATGGATGATAACATTCAAAAAATTACAAACTATATTTATTATTTGAAAACATCTCATCAAAAAGAAAAATTAAGAAAACATAAAACTTTACAACATTTGTAAGATCCTTACAATTGATGTTTTATTTTAAATGATTATTTCTATAGAATGTTATTAAATTTTATTTTTTTTAGGTGTTTATTTAGAAAAATGTTTTGATTTTTATATAAGTGTACAGACACAAAATATGTAGAATTTATGGATTACATCATCCAAGTGAAAATTAAAAAATACATAAAATTGTATTATAAAAAAATAAAAAAATTGTAAGATTAAATTAATCTTACTACCAATACACTTTATTAAAAACACTTGGAAGAAGAAAAAATAATTGATTTGGAAAAAAAATCTCATAATTGTAATTATTGTAAAATAATACATTTTTTCTAGTCCTTGAAAACAAATTAAGCATCTAATATTGCTAAATAAGACTGAAATAGAAAAGTGTTACTTTTGAATCTATGTCTCATAATTTAATTTCCTCTTGACTACCTCTTAATAGTTTGTTTTATTTCTCATACCAACCAAATATTTTAATTTTAATTTCTAAAAACATAACATGTATTTTATAAATTTTAGTTGATTTAATACTAATATTAAATAATTTATTTTCCAACATACATTGCTTTTAGCTTGTGTTGTTAATTCGATATTTGTACGATATTTTTCATAATTTATAACAATAAATTACAGATGGTATTTGCATATACTCCATTAAGTTTTATAATTTAGGAAAAAAATCAAATCAAAAAATTAAAAAATTGAGCGCAGAATTGAATCTTACTTTGATTTATGTTTTTGATTCAATGCAACTTTTTAGTAACATTTTTATTTTATTTTTCATCTAAATTATCATTTATAAATAAATAGAAGATGAAGAAGAAAAACAAAAAATACAATATAACTATTACTTATTCCGTATCTTACATCACCTTTGAATTTTCACAACAATTATGGATTAATAATACAACTTATTAAAAATATCACTTTAACTCCTACATTTATATGACACATTTATCATAAAAACACATTTAGACCTTTGGATTATCTTCAAATATCTTATTTATTGCTATAATTCAGATTCTTTAGTCTTAAAAGATACATTTTTGACGTCACCAATGAAATTTACTTCACAATCCCACGTTCCTATTCCAAACACAAATAACACTATCAACTGTATCGACACCTTTGCTCACTAATACAACATCACAATGAAATTTGCAACAGTTTCCTCTCCATATCTACTTTTCGTTTAATTGTTTTTGCAAAGTCAGGTCATTTGATGCACCACTCATCAATTAGAAGTGACAGATGTAGCTGCCGTCTTGTGTATTGTGCTCCTCCGTTTTAGGATGTGAGTTGGATTGGGAACTATGCAATAAGTATCAAGTGTGGGAGTTTATTTGAAGTAGTCATTAATGTTGCATTTTCCATAAAAATAACAATGAGGACGATTTTCAACACCTCCATTGTTATGTGAGAACCACTAACTCTGAAATCCAAATGAAAATCTGCAGACTCACTACAATCATTCATCACAAATCATATTCCAGAACAAAATTGAAAATCGCCTCAAATATTTCATCGAGCTTGCAAATTCAATCTTTGAGCACTTTAGTGCAATAAAAAAGAAGGATTGAAGAGCTATATTATGCAGGTAGAAATACAAGCAATAGCTACATCATAAATAGAAATTGGCTGCCCAGCAAAGTGACTTAACCAATAGCCATGTGCAGTTTAAAATTTGTATCGACTTTATCGTATCAAATATGAAACTCTTCCCAACAAACTGATCCTGAAGCTACAATACACCACTCTCATCCAGAAACGATAGATTCAGCACTGAGAATGAGCAGGCTTCTGGAATGAAGTGAGAGCCTGAAACGATCATGCCTGCCATCCAACAAACAATGCCACTCAAATATGAGATGATACTGTTTAAGAACGTATTTGAACTGTAGAAGCAAAGTCAGAAATGATTCAGGGCATGTAATGTTAGGTGATGAGGACTTGCTTTAGACCTCATAAATGTATGATGTCAAACTAGGATCATCTAAGGTTAATACCATTACGATCTACAATTGTGGTTTCGATTTCATCACAACACCTGCATGGCGACCTCCGGCCCCACTGTAGCGCCGGCACGCATGGTCGCCACTGGCGTCCAAATTCATGGCTGTTGATGAGACTAAGCGAAAGGAGACCCTGGCCTATAGTGAAGTTGCTGAGTCAAACGCTCGCCAAAAGTTCCGTTGCCATGATACTGCATTTGGAGATCATCTTCTAGGGTCATTCTTCTCAATGCAAAGTCTAATATGTTATTATCTACATTTAAATGGTTTCTTCTAGTTGGGCTACCATCTGGTGTACGTTGGGGAGGTGTATTCCAATGGGAGTCTCTGCGAGGTTCAAAGTAAGCTCCTCCATTTATCATGGACGGGCTTGCGTATCGTCCACTCTGTGTCCTTGAGCTGTTCTCATACCCCTCGTTGGGATAGGCAGAGAAGGCGCCACACAACTGATTTGGAAGTAAAGGTGAGCAGCCATAGCCTCCACCAGGCGGAGTTGATGATCCTGAGCTCATCATCCCTGGAGTGGACATTCCACTGTAGACCTGATGGACTGCTCGTGGAGACCTGATAGACGGAAGTACAAACGGTCCATGGCCTCGTGGTGAAAGGTCACTGCAAAAAAGTAAAGAACATAAAAGAGCTATATTAGAGATAACGATCTTCGGGAATCTGATACAGCAGCACCTTCATGCACATTCTGCACTTTAAAGAAAATGACTTGCAAAAGTAATGCATCCAAAGACTGGTAGAATTATAGATAAAACATAAACAGCTGATGACTAGGATGGGCGTGGAACCTTGTTGGAGAATGAGGTAGCCTTCCTCTGGTTAGCGGACGATACGCTCCGTCATTCTCTTGCGCAGTAGCGTGCCTGTGCCCCACGTGCGGCGTCACATTCTACAAGCACCACCATGAAAAAGGCATATAAGATAACATCATGATGGAGACTACAGCAATCCAGACCAAAACGAAGAACACTTGGCAGACTGTTAACGTGGGTGAGTCTAGATGGAAACTAAGAACAGAGTCGTGACTCAAGCACCACATTTATCTTTCAAAGGTAAAGCACCATGGCAGTTCGCACAAACCAAGTAAGAAGAATGAGCTAAAAACCTCAATCGGATCCAAGAAGAACGTGGACAAACTATAATTCAGATTGAATGCAAGAATCAGCCCGGGAAGGTTAAATGACAAAGCTGACCACAGGTCTGATTGCAGGAATGGTACTGGGTTGTAAATCAGCTCCAGTAAGGTTGTCATCTGGCCTGCAGATGCGAGGGACGTCCTGAACAAAAGGGTGTTCCAGCAACTGAGCAGCTGTTGGCCGTTGTGCAGGGTCACGTTGCAAGCACAAACGTACAAACGCTTTACCCTCTCTGGACAATGTGTCTGGTATGGAGGGCAATTCTTTGCTGTTCCCGATTTTAAACATTGCTGCAACCTGCCACACAATCGAACATTTAATACTCAACTTCATCACAATAAAGTCAAGTTTACTCTATTTCAAAAACGAATAGGCCCAGCAATACTTCTCTAGGATTGTAATGCAAGGTTTTATAGAGAATGGCATAAAATATAGAGGGTTGCAAAAGAAAGGAATCAGAGTGCGGGTTGCTCACTCCTTCATATTGGTTCCATGGAGGTTTGGTAGTCAACATCTCAAGCACAGTACAACCTAGACTCCATATATCCACAGCCAAATCATACCCTCCTGAATTCTTGATTACCTGCCAATTAAGAATCATGTTAAATCGTAATTGAGGAGGGGAATCTCTAACAGCTCCATCACTGCATTTAAGTAATACCGGCTAAATGCAGACGATTTGGATGAGTATGTTTGTAAGATGTAAACAGTCAGCATAATCAATTATACGTTTGACACATACCTCAGGAGCCATCCAGTAAGGGCTTCCCTTGAAAGACTGGAGAAAGGATTGAGCAGAAATCTGCATCACAATGTCTCAGGATACATGAGGAACAAAGAGTACCTTCTAACAAGAGAGAATCGAAAAGCAGCATTTCAAAAACCAAGGACTGGAAAAATACCTTACACTTTTTGTTTAAAGCAACCAGGAACAAAAGCGCTTATGAACTAAGAATTTCTAATCTCTAGCTGCAAAATGGTGCACAAAACCGAGTACAGATGTGGTACTGAAACAATTGACGATACGTACATGCTTAGCCATGCCGAAGTCAGCAAGTTTCACCATTCCGTTAGTGTCTACAAGAATGTTCGCTCCTTTAATATCTCTGAAAAAAACAATATCAACTTTGATCAGTGGAAACTGTACAAAAACCAAATAATTTAAGCTCATACAATAATTACTGGTATAAGCAACAGAAGCCATCCAAAATTCAAAGCTTCAGAAGATGGATTAGTAAAAACGTACCTATGCACAGTATTTTGATTATGCAGGTATGCTAACCCAGAAAGGATCTGACGAGTGTAGTTGCGTACGACAGGCTCTTTGAAAGCACCGTACTCTTGGAGTAGTTTATGGATTGACCCACCTGAAACATACTCTAAATATATATACAACCTGTCCTCCAACTGCAAAGTTCGCAACCATGTGATTAGACCTGGACATGTCACCCACACACCAGGAAGAATGATGGCATTAAGATGTGTCACACTTCATGGTGAAAATTAAAAGCCGTGAAAGGTTTGTATCGTACCGTTTCGGTGCCAATGTACTGTACAATGTTCTCATGTCTCAATTTACTCAACAAACTTATTTCCTGGTTCACAACCACAGCATAAGTTCATCAAAACTCACGACATCACCAGGACACATTGCTTTCTGTACGTTCACCTAGGGGCTACGGAGGTGGGATCACAAGGTGTCATTCATCAGAGATCTCCAGTAAAATATAGAACACAAAGTCATGCGATTCTTGATAATCTCAGCTAGTCAGAGCTGATAAAGAGTAGTCAAGGAAAGAAAGAGAATAGCAATGATAGCATACCACTAGTAAGAACTATTAAAATCGGTTGAAACAACCGTTGAGACATACTAACACAAACGACAAAGAAGTCCAACAACCGGATTTAATGTCGAAAGAACAAATCAGCTGCATACAAGAGTTTATCTGTCGTAAAAAGAATGTCTGAACACACCTGTCCTAACTGCTTGACACTTTCCTTTGATTTGTGATCATCCAAAACCAAGAGAACTTCTTTCATGGCACAAAAACCCCCATTATCACTGCAAAATACACAAAAGGTCTGTCATTCAACACATAAACTTCACACTGGCTTTGATTTTGCAAGAGCTACGACTTGACATAAAAAAATCACCAATTAAAACTTGAGATCACCATAATAAGAAGAGCACACAAGAACCATTCTGTTGCAAGGAATTATTGTCAGAGGAGAGAATTACCTGTTGAAACCCACGTATACATTTCCAAATGTTCCGCTTCCAAGAAGCTTTCCCTTCCGCCATTTCGTTGAGGTCCCAGATACAGGTGGTTCTACAGACCTGGAACGTTCCATACTAGCGGACGTATGACGAGACATTGTAGGCGTGCTCGGTCCTGAGGTAATAGGGGGAGAAGTGTAAGGGCTACTATTGCCCGTGGTCGAAGGAGGCAACGGCAACGGCAAGGGCTTCGGTGCGTACTGAGAGCGACCTTGACCATCTTCGTGCCAAGTTTTGGGCGAGTCAGGTCCACCACAAGTGCGAGTGATAGCCCGTGGATGCCTAGGAGAAACAGTAGCACTTGCAGTACGACTAGGTCCAGGACTTCGTAATCTTGGACTTGGGGACCTGTCTTCGTGGTGCTGCGGTGCCCATAAGGGCGCGGGATCTCCTTGCCAAGAATTATACCCAGATGTGTTGCCTGAGTGAGGACTGCCAGTGACAGATCCTGACACTGCCGGCTGGTTCTGCGAAACGGAGTGGGGGCTCGGGGCAGGACTCGACATTGAACTGTCAGGTTGAGATTGAGGAATCTTCAGAGGTGAAGGCCACATTGGAGACCAAACCCGTGATGTGGGAGAGATGACAGGCGGGTGATTGCCAGGAAGAGGACTCATAGAACGGGGGGTCTCTAGACGCACTGGCTCAGCCCTAGACATTCTACCACGCAGTGCTGTTGAGGCTTGAATGAATCTGGCAAAAATAGAAATCGGAAGCCAAGCAATAAGAATGCAGTAGTATGCTGATTCATCAAGAAGCGCGGGAAGCGCTCAATGAACTCCATTGCTTACATACAAAATTTGACAAAACTAGCACTTACTGCGTAATTGGTCGAAGCAGGTCAGTGGGTTCGGGCTCCTGCAACGGTCGGAGATGCGAGACTCGTCCTTGTTGACGAGGATCTACTTCAACACTCCCCAACGAGCTTGTACTAGAGACCGACCCGGATGGATAATCCCCTTCAGTGGTAGGCTCCATCCGTCCGACCTGAGCTGGTGAGGGCAAAGGCATGGACGTTGCATGATGCAACCCAGGGGTCGACTGATTTTGGGCATTAGACAACTGTCCCTCTGAGTACGTCCGTTCCACGGATTTAATGGGAGGTGCACATGGTAACGGAAGAGGCTGTCCATAGGAATGCCGTCTTCTGCTGTTGTTCCTAGGTGATGAGGGAGACGGCGACCGCGATCCCACACCAGATCCAGAGCCTGCCTCCGAAACCAAATCTAAACTGTGGCGGGAACTGTACTTACTACTTCCGTTGTCTTCCCTCGCGCGTGGCCTAGGCCTCTGGGACTGTCCCGAACCTCCATCAGATGAACCACTAGTGGTTGATTTCTTCCCCTTCTTACCATCCTTGGACATGGGCCACCAGGGCATCTTAAAAGCCGCAGTGATTGCTAAGTGAGAAGGCTCAGCTTAATCTAGACGTTCAAAATCTCTCACCTCCACTACATGCTGTGATTGAGCAAAGAATATCAATGTTGGTTATGCCCTCTTCTAGTCTTTCTTAAATAGGTGTAACAGAGTCTGGCCACAGGTGCATCGTAGAGATATTATAACTTCTTTATCAAAATAACGAGCCCACATTTCGAAATGGCACACAAAAAAAAATCAGCGGAGGAAATAGATTGGATTCAAAATCCAGTTCAGGATTTCTCTAACCAGTAACAAGTCCGGCACCTCCGGGTCACGAGCCTAAACAGAAGAGCGCCCCCAACAGTCTCGACCCCGACTCTCATATGCAGTTCACGAATTCAGATGCTGGGAATCACGCAACTCTGCCCGAATGTTGAAGGGGAATTGACCTTGTAATGCTCCACAAAAACCAGCCACATACACGTATATTTGAGTAGATGCGGAAGCCATACACTAGTAACCAGCTCAAAACTGCTGCAATGGCCTTCCCCAAGAAACAAACTCCTCCAGTGCAAGTAGGTCGGTGCATGGCCTCAAAAGAAAGCATGCCATAGTCGACAATCACTCCAGAAGTTTAACACCAGCTCGTGCATACTAGGCTCCACTACTCGGATGCAGAAGACATAAATAAACAGCAACCGGGAACAAAAACTTCATCCGCATGTTTTAAAGCTGTTGCTCTTCAATCACGTGAATTGGTAGCTACCTGACTCCATTTCATTCAGCACGGTTCCAACCAAGTTGAAACACCATAGATGAACGATCTGCACACGGAAATAACACCGCAAATATTTAGTCACCTCTCTCTTTCTTTCACGATTCTGTACAACATATTTCGGTCCTCAAGTGCCACTATTCGACCTGTTTCTTTCAGAATTCGTAAATTGATTAAACAGTAACTGAGGAAAACTGCCCCCGCAACTTCATAAGCCACCAAAGTCACTTCATCCTCTTGCACCTCATGTTGATGACGAGTAACTTAAAGAAAAGATATAATAAAAATCAAACGCATAGTTCAATCTTCTGAAACAACCTAAAACATCTTCTCCACGACTGAAGTGATACTTCATATGTTACTGACCATCAAAAGTAACACTCACTGCGTGTTCTTGCAAAATACATTGCAACCAGAAATTTGAAGTTTAGAAGGTCAAAAATCTCGAACAATCTAGAATTTTCCAAGGGTAGCAAACATCAATAGCATGAGCTACATACGCTAAGCTCCACCGAGCTGATGGTGATGAAGCTTCCCGCAGTCGGAATTGGCTGAATGAGGAACTAAATGTTACGGAACAGACGTCGCTGCAGAAGCCAAATCTATCAAGATTGCCACGGAACTACAAATTAAGAGAAAATCGCAATGTAGGTTGTCTGCATCTAAGTGGTCCATACCTTGGTACCATGTAAGTGCAGGAAACAACCGCGAAACTACACGCATCATAATGCTAATGATAACTACACTATAACAAACAATCGCAAAGAACACACAAGGCGGGAACGAAGAAGCAAATCCATATTGCAGATTGCAATGCGGAGTGCTAATGTTCACAAACATACAGACTCCCAGAAGATAAGCGGCGGATACCCGGGCACCAAGCCTGGAGTATTCAAGCTTCTCAACTACAACCCTATTTTGAGACACGGAAGCAGATCAGGCATAAAAGATGAGTAACCCTTGAATGCAATGAACAAAACTGCAAGGGGTAAGTCCACGGAACCCCGTCATTCGCAAGCGGCCCTCCTCAACACTAACCAATGCCAACAAAGACGACCATCTGGTGTGCGCATCACTTCAACATTACACAAAACTACATACCCAGCAACTCAAAAATGGGTCGTGCACCTAAAACAACAACATACACCCCCAACTCGGATTAACTCTTGTACTGATTCTAGGGCAACCCCACGAGAGGTCAATCTCTTCTTCCCCTTCTAAACCAATCGTTCTAAACCACTTCTCCTCCCTAGAAACCCACTCGGTGAAACATTCCCACTGCAGCGATGTACAGTACCGTCACGTATGCCACAATCTCCGCACGGACGCTCACGAATCAAAAACCAAACCGTCGTCTCCTACGAAGGGTATCTAGGAGAAGGCGGGAGGACGAACAAGGCCACGAAAGCAAGCAAAGCAATATGGTCAGATACAGCAAGACGAGGGAGGACCCACAAACAGAAAAACGCACCGCAGCGGAATGGCAGCAAGGACCTCCACGAGGAATGGAGTCCATGAGTTAGTGTGGATGAGTAGAGTAGCAACAACGAATCTGGAGAAAGCAGCACTGTAGGGGGTTGGGGCTTCAAAGTGTTGGGCCCTGAGTGCCAAAGTGGCGCTGGGGCGAGCAGAGAGGGGTTGCTGCGAGGAGTGCGAGCAGCAGCAACAGCAGGCAAGCTGTCTCTCTTTTTCTCTCTCTCTCTCTCGTTCTCCCAGGTGGGGAGGGGTGGGAGGGGGGGAGGTGGGTGGTACTCCTCCAATAACTTCACCAATGCTGCGACACTGGTATTCGTGACGCCTTCTCTACCAACGCATCCCCCCTTTCCTTCCCTTCGCTTCCCTTTCATTTCCTTTCCTTTCTTCCTTTCCTTCCTTGCCCTTCCTGGTCTTCATTCGTCGTCGTGTGCGGGAGTGCGTCAGCAGCGCAGGCAAAGCCAAGCAAGGTTGAGGCGAGGCGAAGTGATTCGCCATCGATCCCGCTTCCTCTCTACATCTATCGACTTCTGTTTGTGCTACGTCTGCGGGCGTTCGCGTCCGCGTTCGGTAGGGTTAGTCTGCGTTTCTTGTCGTCCGAGATAGTCTGTGTTTGCGTCATTCTGCGTTCGCGTTAGCGTCTGCTGCCGTCTACAGTATCCCCCCACGTACCCAATCGCGGCGACAGGTCCGCCTTCTCGCTTGGCGGCGAAGCTCGGTTGAAGCTTTTGGAAATCCTCATTAATCCGTACAGTTATCCACGCAATATTCTTTCGTAATGCAACGTTTCAATTTCAAGGAAACATCTCCACTTGTTTTCATAGTTTCATGTTGAAATTCTTATTGTACATTTGTGTGTGTGTGTGCATGTGTTTGTTTAGTTTTTTAATTTCATGTTCAATGCATTTATTTAATATTTGAGTAAGCTCTAAATAAATGAAGAATGCTTTAACATTATTTTAAACTAATAATAAAGTAAATTATAAATAAAAAAATCTTACTACTATCTAATTTATATAAATTTATTTTTATAAATAATTTAAAATATTTTTTGAAAGAATTTAATTTAAATTCATGTAAACTATAAATAATTTTAAAATAAAAATTATAATAATTTTTTAAAATTAATTAGTAACAAAATATTAAATACTAATACAAATATATATATATATATATATATAATATTATTATATCTTATTTTATTTAAATTATAATATTTCAAGTTTAATTTTTTACTTAATTTGTAATATTTTTATTTGTCATTTCTATTATTATTCATAAATAAAAAAAATTAAAATTTATTCTTATATTATTATAATATTACATAAAAATAATGAAAACTTGTCAAAGACATGAATTATAGAGAATCAAAGAATCAACATATTCTTATGTCACTAGGAAAGAATATATTATTACTCAAATGTGGTATAATATTAAAATTGGAATGGCTATTTTCAAAGACAAGAAGAATAGAGATACCTAAAATAAGACAAAAAATATGAAAGATATTGACTAGAGTAAAGAAGGCTTTATTCTTGCCACCATTTATATACTATCTAACTAGAAGCTATGTAGCAACTTTCTATAGGATCTCCAACACATGTCAAACTTATAGAATACATGTCTAATTTCTAAGATAAGTTTTCTATAAGTACACCATATGGCTAGTTTGTACCATAAGTTTTCAACATGTGCAATATGTAGCTAACTTGTTGGCCAAGTTTGCAACCTATTAATTGCCTACAAATACATATAAAGTCAAATTCACATCTATTTGCTTCTAAGAAGCTTTTCCACAAAATATCATTAAATTTACTTATTTTTTCTTAATTCTATTTAATCCTTTTTATTTAAATAATTACAAGTGTCAATTATGTTTGTGATATTATCTTCCATTCTAAGGACAAGTTCTATAAGAAGTGACGATCACATCTTGATTCTTCATTTTTATCTTAATAGGTCTTATTAATAAAAGTATTAATCTTCTTTGTTGGCTCACATTTGTATTCATTTATATCAATTTCATGCCAATGTACAAGATATTTCAACCTATTGAAGTGCCACCTTTAGTCTAAGACTTCTTTGACTTCAAATTATTGATTATTATCTATTTTTATAGAAATATGTGGTATTTGTTTTCTTTTCAATATATCCATTGTCTTGAATGGTTCAAAAAAGGACAAATGGAAGATGGAATGGATCTTAATAGATTCCAAAATGTGTATTCAAAATTCAATTAGATTAATTTTTTTATAAATATAAAAAGATCTAAATCTATAATAATTGAACTTGTCAAAAAGACAACTAGTCTTAATAATAAAACAAAGTGATCATATCTTCTTGCCAATGTGGAATTAAGGTTATTCTTTGCAATAGATATTTGCATTCATCTTTTGTTGTTATTATGCTTCTTTTAATTGTACCTATATTATGACATGTAACTCTATCAAACAATTTGCTAAAACTTCTATTGCAAAGTTATCAACTTTTAAAAAGTCAAAAGTATTAAGTTGTGGATGATAATTATAATTATCAGACCAATATTTTGATTAAGTAGAAAAATATATTGTATTATTATAGGCAAATTCTACTAATAATAAAAATATTATCCAACCATCTTGATAGTATATCTTAAATATTGCTTCAAAATTTGATTCATTTGTTTTGTTTATTTATTAGTTTAAGAATAAAAAGCTAAAGATAGTTTTATTTCTATCTTCAATATCTTGATGAAAATTCTTTAAAACTTTTATAGAAATAGATTTAATCTATTTGATATAATATTATTTGATAATCTATGATAGCAATAAATATTGTTAAAAAAATATTTAGTTATTTTTTTATATATGATAGTTTTTGTACTATGTACAAAATATCTCATCTTAGTAAAAAAAAATCTATTATCATAAATATAGAATCATATGTACTTGAGATTAAAAGATTTGTCATAAAATCTATGAAAATAAAGAACTATGATTGTTCTAGTATATGTAGTGGTTGAAAAAGTTTATAAGGTCAATGACAAGGAGCTTTTAATCTATAACAATCTTTACATAATTGTACAAGTCTTTAATTTATTTACATATTTAAATCCATTAAAAATCTAATATCTTATTGTATCTAAATGTTTTTTAGTTAAAAAATTGTAACGAGCCTAAACATCACATAGATATGGTTCATCTTTTGGAATATATAAGTTTTTTAAAAAATATAAAATATTATTTTTTAATTTAAAATTTAAAATATTATTAAATTTAGAAAAATTATTCAAAACTATTCAAAAGAATAGTTCTTCCTTGTGAATCTTATAATTAATCTCAATAGCTAAAAATTATCTTCAAAAAAATTAGTAGATAATTTTTTTATATTTTCTTTCATTTATGATAATATTGCTTGCAAAGCAATGTTCAATGTCTCTATGTCCATAAAATTTGTCTTATAAATTTCAACACAATATAAGATTGATGTAAGAATAAAAATTATTTTTTAAGCTTTAAATATTATTATAACTTCTTTATTTGACTCAATTTTGTCTTTACAAGTTAAATGAATAAGTACACTTAAATTTGAAAAAAAATCTTGATAAATATCTAATAATAATTAGCAAACTCCATAAAATATAAAATATTTTTTATTGTTTTTAGAATCTTCTAGTTTATGATAGTATAAATTTTCTTAAGATCTACAATGATGGCATCATTTAAAAGAATGTATCCTAAGAAATCAACTTGAGCTATATAAAATAGACACTTTTTTTTATCATGGCATATAGTCTTATATCTTTAAATTTTTATAATATACAAAAAACAAAAAGTTTATATTCTTCAATGTTCTTAGAATAAATTAAAATTTTATTTAAATAATAGACAATAAAATTTTCTAAAAAATCTAAAAAAAGATTATTCTTTAGATTTTGAAAAGCAAATAGTACATTTATAAGTCTAAAAGATATAATATTATATTCAAAATGCTCATACCTAGTTTGAACTGTAATCTTTCATTCATTTTTTTCTTTGATGTATACCAAATTGTATGATCTTTATAGATCTTAACTTAATTTAATTGATTAAGAAGTCATAATATTAAAAGTACGAGATATCTATTCTTGATAGTATTCTTATTGAATTTCTAATAATCTATACATATCCGTAATAATTTTTATTATTTTATTTTTTTATAAAGAAGCCAAAATTTCTTACTAAAATTTTTAAATGACATATAAAATCTTTGGCCAAAATTTCATTAATATATTCCTTGAATTTAGCCAATTTTTTATGTGATAAGCTATAGATTGGTCCAAATAGCACTTGATCTCCTTCTTGAAAATCAATTATGCAATTTAAAAAATTAATGGTCTAAAAAATATATGCATTTTTTTCTCAAAAACATCTTAAGGATCTTAATATTGTCTCAAAATATTGCTTGAAGTTTTTCTACCATCAAAAATAGATGTGATATAAATAATAAAATATGATAAGATTTATCACAATATAAGTATAATATTTTTTGACAACATTGATTCTTTTCTTGACATGTTTAAAATATTTTGTATCATTTTGCATAGGTTTAAATCTTGAAACATAAGTTTCTAAAAGCTTAGAAATTATTATTATGACTTTATTTGTTCCTTTTCAACCAAAACTTTTTTTTTGGAGTCTTTTAAAAATTCAATTATTATATGCAATGACATGAGCAATAAATTGCTCTAATGAGTTTGTTTTTGATAATATTAATATTAAGTCTTTGATATTATTTTTAAATCCAAATAAAAATCAATAGATAAAGGCTTTATTATTTTAATCCATATTGCAAGTAATGTTTTAGAATCCAACAACATATATGGTAGTTGGTTGTGATTTTTGTTGTGAAGATATAAGTTTTGTCTATGCTATCTTTTTTCTATCATTTTTTTAAATGTGGTTGTTATTAATTTCAAAAACAATATTATGTCATATAAGAGTTGTAAAATGATTTCCATCAAAGGTGCAAATTAAGAGAGAATACTACCAAATAGGAGGGTGTCTAAGAATCCAACTTCAATACAAGAAATTTTCAAATTTAACTACTTTTAGTTACTCTACATAATTCTTCTTATCTATTTAATTACAAGTGTCAATTTTATCCATTTTATAGCTAAATATATTTTTATAATTTTATTTAGATTAAAAATTTTAATTATAAAAATATATTTAGTTAAATATTAAATATAAATATAAATAAATATCTACATATTTATGAAGATTTTATTTATATAAAATATAAATAAAATATAATATATATATATATATATATATATATATATATATATTTTAAAAATGATAATCTCAATTAGCTATATGCTAAAATTTGGTATTATTTCAAAATAAATTCATAATATTTTATTTTATTTTAATATTATAAATAAAAATAGATATAATTCATATATAATACAATAGTTCTATATCTTTAATATTAATCTTTAAATAATATAAAATATTATTATCTTAATATAAATAAGTTAAAAAATATAAATATAAATATAAGAAGTAAATAAATAAATAAATATTTTCTTTGTTTGTCTATTTTATTAGTTTATAAATTCAATTGCATTATCGTAATTTATAGAATAAACTTTTGACTTAATCTGATTCATTTGGGCCCCTTTGATATTCTTTCAAACTATTATAGTATATTTTTATATACTTTGCAACCATTTTCTTAATTTAATTTAATTTAATTTTTTTTGTATCAACTTAATATCTATATCTATTTTATTTTTTAAAATACTATTTTCAGAAACTTATAATATTTATCTTTATATCAAACTAATTTGTGGTGTGTGTGTGTGTATATATATAATTAAATAAATATTTAAACGCAAATTTATATTAATTCTGATTTTAAAGTTGTAATTTAGAGTAAAACTTTACTTTATATTATTTGCTTGCTATTAAGTATAAGAAATTTAGAGGCCTATTTTTGAAGATTTTACTTTATTCTTTTGAGTACATGTATTTAAATACCTTATATTTTGATATATAAAAAATTGATATTATGATAAAATTTTATATTACTTAAATAAATAGAAATAAATAGAAGTAAATAAAATAAATATTAAAGAAACTAATTAGATCTATATGAAATTAATAAATTCTTATAGATATGCCACATGACTATAAAAACAATCTTGTAGAAGTTTTTTATTCTTAGAAGATACTATAAAAAAAACCTAAAACATAGATGCTTGGGCCACAAGCCTAATAGTCTTTACAAAGATTTTATATGGTTTTTTTGAAAGCTAGTATAAATAGATATAGAACTAAGATTATTTTTATTTTTGTCAACATATTTCTTATATTCTAATTTTAACTTGAGATTCTTTAAGTTTATTTATTTATTTATTAATTGCTATTATAATTCTTTTCTATTTTGAAATTATAACTTATTTTTACTCATTGTCTTTTTTATTATTAATACATTAATATTTTTTATTTCTTATTTCTAAAATTATAATAAAATATAAATTATATTTTTAAAATTTATTTTTATATATATTATTAAATTTAAGTTATGAATATATAATATATCATTTGAATTTGATGCATTTGAAAAAAATAAAAATAAAAATTTATTTTCTAAAAAATTATTATTATTCAGTTTATTTTTTGAATAGTAATTATTTTAAATATTAAATTTTTATTTTTATATATTTTATTATTTATTTGATAAATAATTTACATTCCTTTTATATTTATTTGTTAGAAATTATTTTTATTTCAAATTAACTTATGTGATTTTAGAGATTTATTTTTGATTGGATACTAATTGCTAAGTCTATATAGAAGTTATTTTTAGGTGTATTTGTATAAGTACTTGGATATACAAGAAGTTGTTAACTAGTTTGGTTAATTAAAGATGGTTTAAAAGAATCAACCTAACAAAAAGATCCAAAATACTTGGATTTGGATAATATAAGGTAGATTGAAAATACATGACCTTCATAAGAACCAAATCAATAGGATTTGGATAATAGACGGCAAATTAGAGATATACAACTTATATAATAAAAAAAGATCTTGAAGTGCAAAGTAGAACAAACTAAGTCGAGATAATAATTAGATGCTAATGAAAAGATGGTTAGATGTCAATAATTAATTGAAGTAGTATTAGTAACCACCAGGGGTAATGGTTGAGAGGCATAATATCAAGTACCAAATACAAGCTAAGGTTATTATTGCTAATTTAATTGATGAAAAATGTTATTTGAACTAATTTTAAATATAATTCACTTTTTAAAATATTAATTTATTTTTTTTTACTTTTTTTACTTTTTTTATTTAAGTTAAGTCTTAGGAGTCTTCCACTAAAGTTGAAGTGAGTGCAATTTGACTAAAATTAATAGTTCATGCAAAATTTCTCTTAATAAGAATTCTAACAACTTATTAACTTTGAATATATATATATATATATATATATGGTTAGAACTTGCAGATTCATATAAAATAAGAGATTTAACAATCCAATGATGATTTAAATGATCAACAAGCTTTCTCCAAATTAAAGCCAAGTTTGACGAGAATGTTTTGACCTACTAGATTTTGAACCTACTTACATTTGAACTGTAGGATTTCGGTCCTTAAATCCAATAAACAATAAATCTTCATTTTCTTCTTGTTATAATATATACTATTAATTTAGATATTTTATTAATCAATTGACTATTCAAAAAATATATGATCTAAGATTGATGCAAGCTAATTTTAAAAAATTCAAAATTCTTGTTACATTTTGATTAATAGATTAATCATCTCAAGCATATAGTCTTAATAAGGTGAAACTATAAGCAATCACAAAGATTTTTAATCATCCATGTTGGTAGCAATGAAATTTTAGTTGTAAAGATTTAATCTATCAAATTAAATTTCTTAATATTTAGTTAGCTTTGTTGTATTCTAAATATAAAAGAAGGTATAAGACAAAACAATCTTTTGGCATAAATTTGACAATACAAAATCATTTATATTATAAATAATAAGAAGCCAAAACTAAGAATGGTATTTGATATTTTTTAAAATAAATTATTTTCAAAGAATTAAAGTGGAACATTAAAAAATAGTAATATAAAATATATATATTTATTAAAAAAATTAAAAAATATAATAATCTTATAAGAATATATATATGTAGTATTTATTATTCTTTTTTAAATTAATATTTTAATATAAATATATAAAATAATTATTTAAAAGATACATTTATAAAACTATTGTTATTATTATTATTATTATTATTATTATTAAACTACAATATTAGAATTTTAAAAAATACATAAAAGATAAATTAATGAAGATATTGTTCTTTTGAAGTATAAGGCATAATGAATCTTATTTTGAGAATTTTATTTACCTCAAGCCTCCTTATTTTTTAGATTTATAGAATGCAAAAGAATCTAACTTATTACAACTAATGCAAACACAAAAGATTAAGTAATAGTTCAAAACCCTTAAGCAAACATCTTGAGGTTTTAAAGTTAGTTTTCAGATTTGCAATCTTAGGAGATCCAAAGGATATCTAAGATTATAAAAGTTAGTTACTTGTGATACAAGAATGTTAGTTTCTTGAAAAGGCAATAAGATTATTAATATAAAATTATTGAAGAGTAGAACTTCTAAGATCTAAGAGTAGAACTTCCAAGACATTATTATTGTCAAAGACATAAGTTAAGTTGCAATTAATAGATGAATCAATATAAATTATATATAAATTATACAAGTTAGTTACTAAGAGCTAGAAGTTAGTAAGAAAGGTTGTTTTAAGTAGTATTGAAAAAAGATTTAGAATATAGAATTTAAAATTTAAAACATGCATTATAATAATATAGAATGCAAATATAAAGTGTTGTGATATTAGCAACCATTAATTGCAATGTATAAAGTATAATATTCTTGTAGTCACTAATCTTTGAATTTTTCAATAATAATTAAAACAAATCTCATTATTATTATTATTTTTAATCTAATAAAATGTAGATAATTTTCTTCTTGTTGTTTAATAGTCGAATTCTAAAATAATAAATAATAATGAAAACACAATAAATATGCTTGTAACCTAAAATTTATATATTAATGAAAAATATAATATATGTAATGTATTACTGTTTTTCTAATTTATTTTGTGTAATATTATATATTAACTTATATAAAATATCGATTGATTATTTTATAATATCAAAATATTAGTAATAAATATGATTATTTTGCACATAAAAACAAACACATTTTAACAAATTATTAAGTTTTGATATCAGAATTTTTTTGGTTATTATTTTGTATGTAAATTAAAGAATTTATAAAATTCTACACCACATTTAAATTGAAAATTCTACAAGGTTATACATTGCTTTGTTTATTAAAAATAAACATGTTCAAATTAGTTTGTAATCTTCAAATGAGTAAAATTTTCTTTGGTTCTTAATGAAAAAGGAAAAAATCTATAAGTAAATAAAAGAAATAAATCTCACACACTAGTACAAAATTTTTACATATGCAAGAAATAGTGACTTCTTAATATAAAATTCATAAATGTATTTAGACAAAGAAACTTACATACAAAAATAATATACGAACACCTTTATTTGTTTGTTATTATTGTTAATGTTATATTATAAAATTTCGAATGATTTGCAATCATATTTAATGTAAAGTATAGGATTGTTCGCACCAGCACATCCTAGACATCTAAGAGCGGGCCACCAGTGAGGTCTTCTTCACACTACTTTCAGTGAGAGGACAAATTTTGCTTCTTTTTAAGAGCATGCCGTCGAGCTGACAGAGGATTATGATGATCCTTTAAACAATATGGGTGAGTGTCAAAAGGGATGAGATGTTGACTACTGATTAAATAAGACACTTATAGCAGCGAATAAGTATATGCTTCCAAGCACCGAACAAAGTCCTACACAAAAATCAATCAAATATAAAACGACATGTCATTCTCTCAACTTGGATTGGATTATCGACACATTTCAGCTTCTAAAATTTCTAGACTTAAAACATTACAAATATTGTTTCTCTGAAGGAGCAACAAACTAGCACTAAAATATATATCGCATGAGTATGTTAGACGTGAACCTGCACGTAAGACAAGTCACACAAAAGCGGAAACTCGCATAACAAGTAAACCTGAATATATTAAGAGAAATCACACAGGCCTGCATATATTACAAGGAGTCCCACCAGCCTGAATATACTACAAGTGGCACAAGCTGTTGTGGTGCTTGGCTTAAACCTACACGCTCGGAGCATCACAAAACCACACCTCCAGGGACTACCAATCTTCGAACACCTAAAACCAAAACAAACCCAAAACATCTGGCATCAGCCAAAATGGAACTCCTACGCGAACACTTCTGTGATTAATGAGGAGCAGAAGTGTAAAAGTACTTACTACTTCCATCTAGCCATAAACGTGAAATATGTGACTTGAGATCAGCTTGTTGGAGCTCTGACCTCAAGACGCTTCTCAGTGACTGAATCAAACTTTTTTAAATCATGGAATTGACATCTATATTTACAGTTACTTGCAGGGCGGCTTTCTTCATTCCTCCGAAACCCAATCAGAAACAGGACGCCTTATTTCTTTTTGAAAAAAAAATAAAATTTACGGAGGTATTTCAGGCTATTAATTTGAGAATAAGGCAGCATGAGGTCCACACAGCCATGGAGGCAGCCCGAATCACCATGGGATGCTTGTAAATCCTGCAAATAATACAGTTCAAGATAGAAAATCAATGAGCCCTCACTTGAAGCAGGAGGTATTTTCTTTGACAAAAATTTACAATGAAAGAAACTACCAAGAAAAGGGGATGACAGAAGAGCTTACGATAATGCTGTAGCGCCCCATGAACCGGCCGTGTAAAGATACTTCCCAGTGGTCCACAATGAACGCAGTCTTCCTTTCTTCTCTACTTTAGCGAAGGCTTGTGTCATAGCTGTTTCAGGGTACCACCATCATCAAGAATCAATATAACCAGAACCAAAACAATTCTAATACAATCAGCTTGATAAATAAAAAAAAAACATTAACTAAATGACGCACTGTCAGCCCGAATCACGCACAAACATAAACAAATTCTACATGAAAATATAAACCTAGAATATTGGTGAAGAAAAATCAAATTACCTTGTTGCAGCTCCTTTGGAGTCAGATTCTGTTGCGAAAAATAACCAGGTGTCAGTAGCCATCACATACTTGTGAAAAAGGTCCAGGTCTATCAAAAGAAAACCTTTACAACTTTCAAAATGAATAAGATGATGAGCAGGAAATACCTTGGCTTGTGGGATTGACGATATGTACCGAGCTATAAAACTCGCAATACTATCCACAATGTCCTCCTGACTAACCATCACATAGCCATCGGATCCCAAACCGTCTTTCACTTCCTTGATTTCCCTATCCGTGTCGTTCTCAGAAAGCCACAACCACCAGTTCGGATCATCCACATCGGCCTTTACATAGAAATCATCTGTATAACAACAACAAAAGCATGAGGCAGTCAATTACAATGAACAACACTCGTCAACTTCTGCCAGCTTCTAGGCACCTGGATAACAATCCAATTTGACGATTACACAGATTGATTTTTCAGTAGAATTCTCAATAAATTCCATAAAGGTAAGAATATAAAGTGATACCTTCAGCCCTCAAGAGCGTCTTATTACTAGATGTCGAGGCACCATCATCTTGAAACGGCTTTAGCTTGTCCAAAAAGGAAGGAGATGCCACCCTCATCTTCAATTGATCATAGACCTGCAACCACATACAATGCACACACTTTTTCACGATACTGAAGAGAAATTGGTGCCGACTAGAGCCCTTGATCATATCGACAAGAACTAGGAACTATTTAATAAAAATATAAATAAATAAAAAACCCACGAAGCCGCGGCAGATTACGGCTAACAGAACAAATCTCACCGCCATGGACCGATCCACCGAAATCGTCCCCGTCTCCATTTTCTGCTTATGTAATTGCTGAAATGCTTGCTCGTACATCTGAATAGTTGCCTTGAGCCGCGCATTTTCCCTTCGCTGAATATCCAAGTCACTCTCCACCTCGGCCCAATCCCACTCCCTGGTCACATCCTTGGCCAATTTCCGCTCATGCCGCCACTCCATCGCCCCTAACGCCATCTCCGCCATCTCCCCGACGGCCACCACAGCCTCCACTCCATGCGCTCCGACCATGGTAAGCGAGAGAGAGAGCGAGAGAGACCTCGGCGAAGGAAACCTCGAAGTCCTCCAACCCTAAAGCAATTCCAACTCCCCGCTCCCTCGTCCTCTACGATACCAACGAAACCTCCGCACCAGTTCAGTAAGTTTTGAAACCTAAACAAAAGGGCACAATCCAGAGAAAATGCAACCCTGATCCTTCAGCAGCAAGCGAATTGGACAACGTCGGTGTGGCTACAACCAAATCGTGATGCAACGAAGAAAAAGGAATACGAGCAAGTTGACGTTAGCGGAGCAGAGCGGAGCGAACAAGCGCAGAATTCCACGGCACTCAACGGAGATGCTTCCTCGAGCATATTTCATCCACTCATCATCCATCCATCATCCATCCATCATCCATCCATCATCCATCCATCATCCATCCATCCCTTTCATTCGTGGATGGCCTTCTGCCTACAGGATCTTATCGCCTTGATGCCTTTGGTCGCGTGGCTATGCTGAAAATGCGCACACAAAAGTTTTGTTTTTTTGAAAACTAGGACTAGACTAATATTTTTGATGTCTTGATGTCCATAATCAATCATATAATAAAAAAATTATTTGTATGTATCAATGTAATGGTTTGTTGAAGCAATCTTAGGAATCTCAACTATTATCCAATAATTTGTATAGATTTATTATTTAAAAGCCATTACAAAGACTATTACATTGGTTAATTAATGTATTATTACATTTGATGTGATTTTTCCTTCTTTAGAAAAAATATAAAATACTTGATAATTGAATTTCTTTTCTCAAAATCTTTCATCTCTATCCTATTATATGCAATCAACAAACTATTCTACAAATGAAGGTGGTTTTATATCTATGGTGAGGTTTTTTTTTGAAATAAGTAGAAACAAAATCATCTAGAGAACTCAAAAATATTGTTATTAAAATTAATTCATATATTTTCAATAAGAATATTAGTCTCTTATTGATTAAGAGTAATGTTGTTACTAAATTTTAATTATTATAGATTGAAAAAAATTAAATAAAGAATTTAATTTTTTTTAAAACTTTAAAAAGATGCATTGATTTTAGTATGAAAGACAAAGGGATAAGAATGTTGATGTGGAAGTTATTTTAATTTTAAAAATTTAAATGGTTGTATTGTAATGTTAATAAGTCTTTAATTTTTGATATATATTTATTTTAATTATAATTTAAAATATAATCAAATTGTAATGTAATTAGAATGTGACAAAAGATTCTGTTAAAACAAAAACACACAAGACATTTTGAAGGCACCATGTGTTAAAGGTTAACTTATGTAACAACTCCACCAAGAAACATAAAATCTTCTTATGCTAATCCACAAAAAAAAAACATATTGCTTTTTAAGAAAATTGATTGATTAAAACATTAAAGATAGATAAATGTCAAGGACAAGAACTTGATAAAAACAAATAAACAAGTAAGAATTTTCTCAAAGAAAGATGACAAAATAGAAATAACTCAATATGTATGTTAAGAAAGAAATTGGAATGGCTATTGCCAAAAGATAAGAAAACTAGAGACCCTTGAAACTAGACTAGAAGCAAGAAAGAAATTGACAAGAGTGAAGAGGCTTCATTCTTCTCTCTATATATACTATCTAACTAGGGGCTACGTGGCGATGTTCTATATGACCTCCAATATGTGTTGACTTTGTAGGACACATGCCTTGACTTACAAGACAAGTTTTTCTCTATGTATGCCACATAGTTAGCTTGGTCTTCACGCTAACAACATGTGTGTGACATAGCCAACTTATTGACCACATTTCTAATCCAAAAAGTCAATTAAAGACATCTATAAAGTCAAAGTAGTATCTATGAAGCTTCTAGAAAGCTTTCATAGCAAATATTATAGAATTAACTTATTTTTACATACTTTTACTTACTTCTACCTATTTATATATGTAATTACTGACTTACATGCGTATGTCCGTGACATTACCCATCTTCTAGAGAGGAGTTCTACGAGGAGCGGTCATCATATGTTGAAGAAATCTATGATGCGACGAATTATATTTGCCACATATTCTGATCTTTGTTCTCTTTGAAGATGATTGATAGGGCCTCTCAACCATCGATAGTGTCCCATACAAGGGCGGGAAGACCACCCAGTTATTTGATCGTTGTTGAGGCCTTCATAACTTCCTTCAAATAAAACATTTGGAACACCGTCAAGAATTATTCCTACCTCCCCTAAAATCACCAAATATTGAGAGTCTCTTCCAAGGTCGTGATATCAAACGCATTGTATCTCGCCATCTATTTGAAGAAGAACATATTGTTCTTAAAGATCTTCATTTCGATAACATCATCTTGAAGGTTGTGACAATCATAATGTTTTGTCCGTCAGATCAGCAAATGAAGGCTCTTGAGTCATATATGTTGATTGTTGGTTCTCTATCTCCTCGGCATGACAACTACAAAGAAGCTACAAACAAAGATTGAAAGTAGAATGTAAATCTTGCCTAGATCTTGTTTCTTTTATAAGAAAGGTTTTTATCTTGATTTTAATGGATGTAATCGATGAAAAGCCTCCATCGCCTTTGCTGCATTTGCAAGATTCTTTATTGGCTCCCATGTGAGTTCACTAATATCATATCCGCACTAATAGACAAGATATTCCAATTTATTTTGGCACCGCCTTGAATCTAAGACTTCTTCCACTTCGAACTCTTCATTATTGTCCACTTCTACAAGAGGAGGTGGAGCTTGTTTTCTTCTTGGTATGTCCACTGTCTTGTATGGTTCAAGAAGAGACACGTAGAATACTAGATGGATTTTCATTAACTCCGATAAGTATTAACAATATGCAACTAGATTGATTTGTGCAGAAATAGAAAATAGTCCAAGCCTTCGATAGTCCAACTTGTCACAAGGATGACTGGATTTGATATTGTGACAAAGTAACCTAATTTGTCACCCATGAGGAATCATGGTTGTTTCTTTCGATAGACATTTGCATTGATCTTTTGTTGTTCTTGAGCTTCTTTTAACTACGCCTTCATCGTTGCATATAGCTTTGACAAATGAATTGCCAAATCTTTCACTACAAAATTATCAACTTTTGAAAAGTCAAAAGTATCAAGTTGTGGATGATAACCATAATTAGCAAAAAAAGGTGTTGATTTTGTAGAAGAATGTACCGTGTTATTCTAAGCAAACTCTGTCAATGACCAAAGAATTATCCAATCATCTTATTGGTAGTTGATAGTACATCTTAAATACTACTCCAAAACTTAATTAATACGCTCCGTTTGTCCATCAATTTGAGGATGGAATGTCGAAGATAGTTTTATATCCACTTTTAGAATCTTGAAAAGAGTCTCCCAAAATCTTGATACAAATTGAGTTCACTTATTTGATATAATATCCTTAGATAATCCATGATAACGATAAATATTGTCAAAAAAGAGCTTAGCTGTTTCTTCACCTGTGATGGATTTTGTACATGGTACAAAATGTACCATCTTGATAAAACAATCTACTATCACGAATATAGAGTCATAAGAACCTAAAATTGGAAGATCTGTAATGAAATCCATAAAAACAAAAGACCATAGTTGTTCTCAAATGGATAATGGCTGAAGAAGTTCGTAAGGTCGATAACAAGGAATTTTTGATCTTGAACAAGTATCACAAGATTGTACAAAATCTTTGACTGCTTTCCACATTTGTGGCCACCAAAAGTCCTCCAATATTAGTTCCAAAATTTTATTGTACCCAAAATGTCATGCTACTGGAAAGTCATGATGAGCTTGAAGAACACGTAATCGAGCTTCACCTTCTGGAACATATAGGCATTCCTCGAAATATAGTAGATTATTTTTGAATTCAAATTTAGAAGTATTATGAGACTTTGAAGGATTTTCCTTTATATCACAAATAAGAGGATTAGAGGACATACTTGATTGAATTTCTTTAATGAAAGTTGAAACAACAGTTAGTGTTGATTTCATTGCTCAAAGATGAAGATGCTCTCGCTTTAAGAGAATTGTCTATTGTTAATCAAAAGTAGCATCTCCTTCCTTTGGTGCGAGATAAAATCATCTAGAGAATGCATCAAACAAACCTTGTTGTTTTCCTAGTCGATAAGTGATCTTGAATTTGAATCTTGACAAAGACATACTTCAACGGGCTTGGCAACGATTCAAAACACGTGTTGACATAAAATATTCAAGGTTCTTGTGATCCGTATATATGATGATTAGACTAAAAATACCTTCTAGATAATGGTGCTATTCTTGAAATAAATCTACAATTACAAGAAGTTTTTTGTCATGGATCTCGTAGTTGATCTCGGTTGCTGAATTTTTTTTGGAATGAAAAGCTATTGGATGAAGTTAATCATCTGTTCTCATTTATGACAATACAACACTCAAACCAAATTCTGATGTGTCTATTTCCATAAAAAATGGCTTAGAAAAATCGACGCCATATAAGATTGGTACAAAAACAAAGGCTGTCTTCAAAGCTTCAAATGCTACTTCTGCTTCTTGATTCCATTGAAGTTTGACTTTATAAGTCAAACGTGTAAGTGGAGCTGTAACTTGGGAGAAGTCTTTGATGAAGATCCGATAGTAGTTGATAAATCCCAGAAAGCATTGGACATCTCTTACCGTTTTTGGGTTCGTCCAATCCATAATAGTTTAAACTTTCTTAGGATCTATCATAAGTCCATCATTTGAAATGATGTATCTTAAGAAGTTGATTTGAGTAGTGTGAAATACACACTTTTTTTTATCTTGGCATAAAATCCCGCATCTCTTAGTTTTTATAATATACGATGAACATGAAGTTCATGTTCTTCTATGTTCTTAGAATATATTAAGATGTTGTCTAGGTAACACACAATAAAATCATCTAAAAACTTTTGAAAGACATCATTCATTTGATGCTCGAATGTTGCTAGTGCATTTGTAAGTCCAAAAGGCATGACGTTGTATTTGAAACGCAATCTTCCATTCATCTCCTTCTTTGAAGTATATCAGATTATATGCTCCTTGTAGTTCTATTTTTGTATAGATCTTAGCTTGATTCAACTTATCAAGGAATTCAAATCTCAAAAGTTACGGGTACCTATTTTTGATGGTGATTTACTTGAGTCCTCAATAATCGATATACATCCGCAATGATCCATCTTTTTTCTTCACAAATAAAATTGTAACTCTTGCACGAGATTTGGAATGGCTTATGAAGTTCTTGGCTAGATTTCCTTCAATATACTCCTTGAGGTCAGCCAACTCATTTTGTGATAAACTATAGATCGGTC